TATATGGAAAGAGATACGGAAGGAAAAGGGGGAGGATTTTGGTATGACACATGACACCGCAGAACCTGGATCCGAGATTCGCGCTTGGGAATCGGGCGGAAGCGCTAAGCGCGATCAGTGATGCGCTCCAGTTAATCGGCAGTCAAATTTTGAATGATCCCCTCGGCTTCCCGTCGTCCCCTCTGTCCCTCCGGAGAAAAAGCGCGGGCTTCTCGCGCTAACTTTATGCGCATAAGCTGTTCTTATTGAGGACGGCAGCCCTATCGGCCAGGCTATCTAATTCGCAATCTTCGGGTCTCCGTGTCCGTTTTCGGGTGGGTTCCGGTAGACAGCGTGTCGACAGCGAGGAAGCCCTATCAGTGGCGTGGCGTGAATTCCGATGTATCGATTGTTATGCCATTTACACCTATGGAAAAGGATCGATAAACAGGGTGTTCGTAGCGAACACCTTAATAATCGATTCTTCACCATAGGTTTAAATGACATAACAATCGATAAATCGCAATTCACGCTACGCCACTTAGCCCTATCGACAAACTCGCGACTCCCGCTTCCCCGCTCATGCGTTCCTTTTTCGCTGTCGCCGCCGAGTGTGACGACACACATTAATATGTGGAACCAAAGATAACTTTAGATGAGTTTTTAGATTATTAAAAGTATAATTTTATTAATATCCTTTGTTATTATTTTATTAACGGCAGCAAACGTGATAATTTTTTTTTAAAAAAAAACATAACTTTTATAATTGAGTAAAAAATTATGTCAATAAAAAGAAGCGACATAAATATATTAATTTTTACTAGATGAGAAATCTTCAATATTTATATTATTTATTTGAGGTCGAATCCGATACTAACTAAGCAAGGCAGTGCAGGTACCAATAATTTTTTTTTTTTTTTTTTAAATGATGCGAGATTAATTCAAGCATCTCGTAAGGAGAGATTTGAGGGACATCCTGAAACTAAAGGAGAACCCGGAGGGGGAGGAGGGGGGGGCTGAGTCGCAGAGCCGGATTAGCCGGGGTGCCAGGGTGTTGCAGCCCTCCGAGCCCCCTTGGGCGATTTTTTTTTTATTCTAGATCCTGGTCCTTAGAGTTTAAAAGACGGACTTAGAGAGGCCGTAAGACGAGAATTTTGACTGTCATGGGGCCCTTCAAATTTAGGATTTTAGACCCCTGATGACCAGCACTCTAGGCCCGAGTGTTAATCCGGCCCTGCTGAGTCGGATTTGTTTTAAAATTTTTAGGTATGCACGTTCCTTTCCTAGCCGCGGACTGAACATCCGGTTGGTGTCCTGAAAGTAGGCGCTTTCATAGAGGGGGGGAGGTGTCCCAGGCCTATTCTCCTCCCTCTCTCTAGAAAAGGAAAACGTCAGGTGGGTGAAATGCCAAGGATAATAATCGAAATCCGTCTTTTAAAAAGAACATTATTTCATACAGTTTTATAAGATACCAATTGCGAAAATATTGAAGCCAGAAAAAGACTGCACTTGAAAAATGAAAAGTGACAAAAGGCACGAAAAACCAAATTTCCAAACTTAGGTACTAACGGTTCGGAATGTTGTCTCAAAAACCTGGCGCCCCTGCTGTAGCCAAAGGATACCCTCATTTTTTTTTTTTTTTTTTTTTTTTTTTTTTTTTTTTTTTTTTTTTTTTTTTTTTTTTTTTTTTTNTTTTTTTTTTTTTTTTTTTTTAAATTTTTATCTCGGAGGGGAGGCGGGACTTTTAGAGCACCCTGCATAAGTACTCAGGTTCCTTTCCCGAGAAGGGTGGTAACTTTCTTTTTGCGCCCGAAAGAAAAAGATCGGACGGAGGCAACGCCGGGGTAGTGTGCGGAACCTACGTGAGCAATGCATGTAGTTCTCATCGATGGTTGCAAAAACAAATCGTTTGACAAGTTTAAGCGTCACCCTCCCGCTCGCTCGCGCCCCTGTTCCGGCAGACAGCGTGACGCGAGCGCCGACCGAGAAGCCCCACGAATCCACGATTCTCGTCTCTCGGCTTGCGCTACCCGAGTTCCGGTCGCCACCGCAAAACTCCAACGGCTCTCACCGATTATCATGAGCACTCACGTGCGCCCAAATTCGGGACAACGGCGAATGGGCGTATTTATGCTAAAACGAGCTATGTGTGCATAAGATAGTGGCGGATCTAGAGGGGAAGGGGCAAAGTGGCATGCCCCCTCCCCTACGGCCGAAAAAGGAAAAAAAGGGGGAATGAAAGGGATAAGGAGGGAGAGAAAAAAAGTGCTCCTAAAAACTCAGTGCCAAGATTTTAAAATAAAACTATGTAATTACAGTTCACCAGCTTCTCGATGCCGCAAAAATAATTAGTTCTTACCTACACTAAAATAAAGTTAGGCTGCGGGAGGTATTATTCGTCAATTTTCATAATCAAATGATGCACAGATTGCTAATTATAGGTAACTCTGCGCGAAAACTAAGTTCCGTAAACTTATCTCTGTGTGGACAAGGCTTTTCATTTATAAGAATGAACGAAAAAATTATGGAAGAATAAACATGAATGTGATTTAATGATTTTAATTTCCGCCACCGCGCCAACTGTACTGTGTTTGGCGCAATTCGTGAAGTATCCCTATAGTCTTGTAGGCGCTACGCGTTTCACGCCGACCGCTGCTGACCGCACTGTTTTTGACGCAATGCGTGAAGTATTCATGCAGTCTTGTAGGCACTATGAGTTTCACGCCAACCGCTGCGCTGCTGACCGCACTACGTTTGACGCAATGCGTGAAGTATTCATGCAGTCTTGCAGGCGCTAATATGTACTTCATGCTGACCAGCGCGCCGAGGACTTCTCCTTTCTATCTCAAGTCCTCGTCATCATTGCTCTCTGCGCCGCGCTGCTCCAGACCAAATTGCGTGTTTGGTTTCTCTCTCAACTAGACTAATGAAAGGCGCTGTCTCTTGTATCACCGGTAGACGAACAAAATAGAAATTACTATACTTTAACTCTCAGGAAATGAGAGATTTTTTCTCCTCTTCTCGTTTTTAATTTTTTTTCTGAATCAGATTTTTTTCTTGATACCTTCATTTGAAAGAATTAGGTACAACGTTTGCCGCCCTCTAAATTTGCCGTACCCTTAAATCCGGCCCTGCTATCTTAAAGCTGTTTTTCACGAAGCACTTTTTCCCCTCTTGTTTGAGAATAAGAAATTGGAATGAGCAAGTTGTAAGAACTAGTAGTATTCGTTAATTTTAAAGCAGTATCTTATCAACTGTGACCATTAACACCTGTCCACTAAACCAAGAAAAAAGAAAGGAAGAGAAGAGGAAGGAAAGAAAACGGATACTTAGGGAAAAGAAGAAAAGAGGGAGAACAAGAAAAAGGAAAGAGGCAAGAAGAAGGGAACGTGGAGAAAAAAAACGAGATATTAAGAGGAGAAGAGAGGAGAGGAAGAAGAACAAAAAAGGAAGAGAAAGGAAACAAGAATACTAAAGAGAGAAAAAGACAAAAAGGGAGAAGAAACGTGGACGAAGAAGAACGAAAGACGAAGAGGAGGAAGCAGAGGAGGAGGAGAAAAGAAAGAAAAGAGGATGGAGAAGAAGTAAAGAGAAAGAAGAAGAAGAAGATAAAGGAAAGAGACAAGAAAATGAAGAAGGAATAAGAATAAAATATAAATGAGATGGAAAGAAAAGAGGAAATGGAAAAATAAGAAGGACGAGAATTAACCAGAGAAAATGAAAGAAGGAAGAGAATGAAAAATAGGATGAGGAAAAGAGGAAAAATGGAAAAAAAGAAGAAATGAGAAAGGAATAGAAGACAAGAAAAATAGGAAGATGAAGAAGAAAAGAGTGAGAAGTGGAACATGGCATCCTTATGATATTGCACGTTCACTCAGTACACACTCCAAATAAGGTTTTTACCACACGGGAAATATCACATTAACAGTTAACACCAAGTCAGTTCGCCTTCAATTTTTAGTGTAGGCAACATAAGCTCCCATCGAATAGTTGTATCGTGAACGTGTATGATTTTTGCTGCTATTGGCAGGTGATCGTTTCTAAATGAACCTGCTCTATTCGGAGTTTGGAAATATGACCCAGTTTTTTGTATACTAAGTGATAAAGTTGTTAATTCCCTCTATTCAACAATATAAACTTTTATCACTCCCCCCTTCCCCCATTTTCGACCATTCTCTGCACATGCTGCCTCAAAAGATCTACGTACCGGGCCGATTTTCATGATTTTTTCGGCTATTGGTAGAAAGTAGTCCCTAGATTAGCTTGTTCTATGTACTCAGACCAACTCACGCGGGCCGTGGAGCCTTATGGAAGTTGGGCCACGTGGCGCCCAGGGGGGCCTAGCCTCCTAATTTAGTTGGATTGCATTTTGCAAAAAGGAACCAGGAGCATTGCAATGTTGCTAAGATTGTGCAACTTCACCCATTGCGGTTTAACGATTTATATGCTGAAAAAATATGAAATTTACATGGGAATTTTTGTCCTAAAGTTACATTCTTTAGCGAGTAAAATAGAAACTGTTTAGAGATATTCAGGTGTTCCTTCCAAGACAAAATGAGCTGCACAATCTTAGCAATATTGTACCTAATGCTCCTGGTTTCTTTTTGCAAAATGCGATCCAATTATGAAATGCAAAATTGGAGTAAGAGAGGTTGATAGTGTATAAAACATAAAAAGTTAGCTTGAAAGGAAAAAATAGACCAAGGATGAGGGACAGGGAGGGGGAGGGGCACATCGGAACCAAGTTGCTTCTGAGAACCAATTGAAATTCTTTTTTGGTAGAAAAACTGAACTTTTAAATTAGGAAATTCCATCAAATCCTCTACACTAAAAAATTAAAAATACCTAATATGTTCTCTATAAACATTGCTCAAGGACCATTGGAGTGCATTCAGAGGAGACTTAGAGTTGGCGCTGTGTCTTGAAATACTGATTCAAGACTTCAGACATATGCGGGAAAACACACTAGAAAAAACAATTTTTTTTTAAAAAAAAACAAGTTTTTATTCATTAAAAAATAATTAACTTTGACAATATGTACAGTGATCTATTGAAAAGATTTAGGAATCATTCCAAGGAGAATGCAATGATGAAAAATTTGACAAAACTAATTTAGTTGCTTCAGAGGAAACTCTGCATAAGTACACAGAGGGTTACATATGGAGAGCATTTGATGTTGAGTCAATGATACGGAGGGTATAATGTTGGATGATTTTATTTGCAATTTTATTTAAGGTATCCCACTACCTACAGTATACAATGTTTTAGGACAAAGCAACAACTTGATAGTGAAAAATATGATATTCTCTTATTTAAAATGATGTTGGACATGAATTATGGCTCGTGTTGCAAAGGCTTTTTGAGCTCAGAAGGGATGGAGAGGAGGTTGAAAAACCGAACAAAAGTCCGCATCTTTTGTTTGACTTCCACCATTGAGGTCAGAAAATGTCATCACGGCAGATATTCATGGAACATTCAGCTAATCATGAAAGGAGAGAGGTAGCATGCAGTTTTTCTTCTACTACCGCATTCTGAACTTTTTGAAAAGAGGATGCTTCACATTAGAGGCAGGCCTGGTCCTGTACTCCATGTAGACAGCGTCATCTGCTCCAGAAAGCGATCCAATGTTGCCAGCTACTCTTCTCACGCCCTTTGCGCTGGAACCACCTTCTCCCGGAATTCGTTCTTCATCTGCATCCATTTCACTTGCTTGTAGTACTTGCTGCAAAAGCTGGTTCTGTTCTTCTCTCGTTGTGTATAGCAGACCAGTTTCCTATTTTGAAAAAATTGATGTCAGTCAAAGACAAATTGAAATAATTGATTTGAAAAAAAGAAAAAAAAAGCGAGAGAAAAAAACTGCCATTATTGTATTATTGTTGGTTAAGTAGTAATATTCAATGAGAAAAAAATGAAAAAAATAAAAATATCCCTGTAAATGCCAAAAATGACTGATAAACAATGTATTACTGTGCTAACCTTAAAGTAAAATATACAGTATGCTTGATACCTTTCATTATGAGCTAGTTGAGGGTCTGTGCTGAGTGATTTTGTCGTGTACTGTCAGACGTGGGCTCAGAACAATGACAAAAAAAGAGGAGATGTATGGAGGACCGAAGTAAAGGGAGGAAAAAAGAGGAAAAATTAGGAGAGAGACACAAACTACGAAAAGTAAGCACCAGAACTTATGCCTATGTTGTGAATCCAAAAAAAAAGCACAACCTTTCGTAAACAGATGAATGAGAATAGAAAACATAAAATAAAGGAAGCCCAGCATGACACTTAAAAAATTTGAGGGAGACAAACTGCAAAAATATTGTGAGCAGGTTTGTGGATGAGCTGGCTTTATGTCTCTTGCAAAGGCTCAATGTATTTCAGAATGTGCAAATAGTTAGGAGATACACTCGGCTCATATTGTAAGATGATTCTTAAACATTAAAAATTCTTTAAATATGGACTTACATCATCTATTCCAGACAGTTTTGTGATGACTTTGTAACTGTAACCCTGATTAATTAGAAACCGCTGCCTTTTTCTGGAGTAGCTCATTTCTAGCGTGTCCTGAGATACAAGTGTGTAGAAGAATGCATTGTACTCTTCTGCAATGGCACCTGAAATTTGAAAAAGTAAAAAATGTGTAGAAATAATGTGTGATGAATGCTTCATGTTCGGATGTAAACACATCAAAATTTAACGAGATTTACAGAGATCTATTCTTATTTTTCAAGATTTATATCACTGTGTCCCAATTTCTTCCATCTGATTCTGTTTATTCCCAGATTGACCTAATGTATCCTAATTCATACCTATTCATCCCTGTCGATTTTACATTTACCCCATTCATGATGCTTTATTCTGGTTAATTTCTCTATTTACCCTTAACTATCTAAATTACCTCAATATATCCTGACTGGTCACTATTTCTTTTACGTATCGATAGAAGCTGCAGAGACGCGTACCTCAGTTCACGGCATTGCAGACTTCTTATCATGCTTTTTACTTTAGGTGTATGGAAAACTACTGAATGTTCTTTTTTGAAAAATTCGATGATTTTTCTTTTTTGTGTGAAGAATATTCTGTGAAAAATAAAACTGTTGGTTTAGCTTCCTGGAGATTTTAAAACACTGCAACAGAGCTCTACTTTTTTGCAGTTTCACAGTGATATGATCCTGAGTAAGCACAAGATATTATGATAGACTAATTCTGGAATACTTTCTTTTAAGAGACAAAAGAGAGAAATAAGGTGCGTTTTCTATTAGTGAACGAACCTTTTTTTGCTCGCAAAATTCTTCCCAAACGTTGTGCTTCTTGTCTACGAGATCCACCATGAGAAGAAATTTGAATCAGTACGTTGGCCTCTGGTAAATCAAACGATGTATCAGCCACTTTACTGACAAAAATGGTATTGACTTTCGGATTCAGTTTGAAATTTTGTAGAATCTGAATTCGTTCTGCCTGAAATAGATAAAAGCACTAGGCTATTAAACATGTATTCATACACTCTTCGTAAAAAAGAAGTACATAAGTAAGTATTGAGATACAAAGACCTTTACTATTTCTTATCTAACTATCTCTTTTGGAAATGCAATATCATAAAGAAATGTATGAATGCGAGGCCTTAAAAATTCAACTGCAAACTCTAACCATTCACAAAATACTGCCTTAATACTTCCGTGTTTGGGAAAAACGCCGTATGAGCATTGGAAAGTTGCAAAATTTCCTCTCATCAAGTATTTATATTTAAGGAAAATCATGAATATTTTTCCTAGAAATTTTCAGATACTTCAAATCAAATTACGAACAAAATTCTCTAAAAAATCGGAGGAAAAACGTTTGCAAATTTAAATCATTTTTCAGTTGAGCCAAATCTGTACTTTTCTATCATTCTACCTGAGACTTGCATCGGATGCTGTTGATTCGGCCAAGAAGGGCTAATGGTGAGCATTTTATCCTGAGGGTATATCTGTACAGAACTAATAAGCCTTTTACCTGAGATGTGGGTCCATAGATGTAAGGCTTGTTCATTTTGATAGCGTAGTGTTTAAGGGCGAACACATTGTCGGAGAAAACGATTGTCTTGTCTCCTCGCCTCTCATGGTAACGCACAAGGAACTGACATGCACGGAACTTGTTGGGATTCATTACATATAATAACTGCGCAAAAAAATAAGAAGATGCATTTGAAAAAATGATATTGGTTATACATACTAATCACTTAGACATTAGGTAATGTGGGTGCTTGAGGCCTCTGAAAATTGAAGCTCAGGACTGCAATGACTACAAAGTATCATTGAGATTTTATTTTATCGGTATCCAATAAAAGCGTTCGAAATCGACACTCATCATGCTCAATGTTAGACACATCAGATGAAATTCAATGTTATCATTTAGCTAATCATTGACCTGATCTGTGAAAATGGACCATATCTTCTGAAAGAAAATTTTCCTTGACTCTTTGCAAATGAACAGTGGGTGAAAATCTAGAAATCTTGGCGCAAGTTTGACTCTGAAAGCTCAAATATTTAAAAAAATGTGACTCCTGAATCCAGGACAAATAAAAGGTTATAGAAAATCATGATTCAAGGCTCTAAAAAGAGTTTAAGAGAATTTTCTCCTAGATGATAGGGTTCCTCATCACAGATTCGGCAACAAATTGATTTTTCAGAGGGGCAATTATTCCACAAGGTACACAGGTGAGCTTATACTTTTTTGATGGTTTTACCTCGCTTGGAAAACTTACACATTACTTGTTTCTGACACCTGAGCATCTGTATGAATAATATGTTTAAGCCTTTTGCACTTAAAAAAAAATCAAGGAAACGTCAGCCGAGCATATAAATTGTTACAATTATTGTATTCTTGAGAGCTAACATTCTGAATGTCCCTTCCTGACATGTGTACCTACTTCTTGATGTTCAAATACTTATCATACTAGATTTGAAAACTAGAAAATATATTTCTCTCATTCTTTGGAAAATGTTTAAGTCTTATTTACATTTTTGATCAGGAATGTTTGCAAATAGTAAGAGGCATTTCAAAACAAATACATACTAATTTTTTAGAGGTTTTGCACATCAAGTATTCGCGGTAGAATTCTGGAGTCATTGGACACCATACTTCTGCACACTGAACCCGTGCAATGAAGCCTCTCTTCTGGAGCTCCAACCAGTTGGCTTCGTACAATTTAGGTCCGATTAAGAAATTCAAGTCAGCGATCTTGTCATCTTCTCGGAGCAAGGTTGCAGTGAGTCCCAATTTGCAGTGGGACTGAACCAGGGTTAAAACTCTTCGGAACATTTTAGCAGGGATGGTGTGCACCTCTATGAAAAAAGAAGACAAATTCAATAAGTAAATGGACATTTGGTAAGGTGTATGAAGGTATGAATAAATTCTAAATGGATATGCTATCCAAACAGACACACAACTCATTTGCACTTTCTTTCCATTGCTCTAATGTAAACAAATCTACATTATTAATTGTAATTTTCGTAGAATATTCTTCACATACGGAAGAAGAAACACAAGTTAGGAGGTGTCATTACTGATTCTTTTATCATTTAAAAGATCATGTATCAAAATCTTTTTTTGGCATGGCAAATTGAGATCTCAGAATACAGCTGTCAAAACAAGGACTTGCATTATCATATTCAGTTACTGCTTTCACTGCTGTGCTAGCCCATATGGACTTTTCCACTAGGCTAGAGCAGTTTTATTACTATTTCATCCTTCCTTGTTTTCACATGGGTTCTTATTTATAATTGTTCTTTGGATGTTAAGGCCTTTTTTATCAATGTGACTTTTAAGGCTTAAAGAGGCCTTAACGTTTAAGGCACGACTATGAGTACGACCCTTGATCACAAGACATTCAGATTTAAAAAAAAAAAAAAAAAAAAAAAAAAAAAAAAAAAACCTGATTTAAGCTGTGAAAAATGCCTTTATTTGGGTATATTTAAGTCCCACTTTGTGAGGTGCAACAACTTCACCCTTCATTTACCATAGTAACACCAAATAAGTAATTTAAGGAGGTAAGAGGAAAAAATGAAAGGACAAATTTGAGGCAGTGTTAAAAACTATTACTGACCATCTAGGACCATGATACCCCATTCTTGTTCCTGCAACCATCGCATTGTTTGTTCTGCTTCCCAAGATCTTTTTTGTGTATGCGTAATCATGGAGTAAGTGGTTATTAGAATACTGCATCCCATTGGTTTGTCTTTAGCATCCGAGGTAAAACGACAAATCATACCGTCGTCAGCTATGGAAAAATTGGAGAATTCAATTAAAACGGAGCATGAAAGATAACTTAATCTTTATCCTGGCACATGTAAGTATGTGGTTTGGGTGGCAGCAAGATTAATACTACCCCAGTGTTTTGGTTAAACACCTAAGTCTGACTTATTATTATTTTCATTTCCTCTTTTTTTTTTTTGCTTTTCTAGGAAAAAAAATTTCCGTTAATATTTTATTTTTTTGAAAAGAGACAGGTCAACTTTCGGTATAGCTTGAAATTGATACAAAATATTCTGCAAACAAACAAGAATAATCAAGACAGTTTTTGAGAGGTTGAATTGACCAGGGTTCTAAAGAAAAAATAAAGTATAACAGGAAGTATGCAATGTTGCACACTAAGATACGCCATTTTGCACTTTGGCCATTGATACACAATGAGCCTGCTCACCGAGTAGGTATATTCTGATCTTTACGTATACTGTTGACAAAGATTCAGCGACTCTCTCATTTCCAGTCTCTAGAGGATTTAAGTTTCGTTGTTTTTACAGTGTTTGACTGCCTTATTGCTTTTCTTTTTCTTGCAATGTTGTCAAAATACCAATATTTATCTGATTCGAAGAATTTACGAAGTATTACTTAATAATAAATTGGCTCAATAGAGACAGAAGTCCCAAGAGCAAAATGAAATTTTGAGACCTACCTGTTGACCACATTTTAAATTGCTGTTTCCATTGCTCCACGGACACACCGGAATTACACAGGACTAGAGCTCTCTTTCGAACTGTACAACACGCAGTAACACCAACTAAACTTTTACCGGCACCTGAAAAAAAGAGAAAAAAGTCAAATGCATACTGATACCGAGTTGCAAAAAAGTTTCCTAACTTCAGAGATAATTTTGATAGTTTTCTTTCAATGACAGAAGAATACTACTTTGATGCATCATACACTTGTAAATTGAGAATACTGATCTTTTTAGATATGAATATTTGTAACAGGCCACCAGACAAGGTCTAAAATAAGAATAATCGCCAAATTTTTTCTCTTCAAAATCTTACATACAAAATAATTCACACAACTCCTGAACGAGATATCAATAGGTATTTTTAACGCAGTCCAAATAGAAGTTAGATTCTACAAATGACTTCATTTGTACTTTGGCCATTTAACCAGTGTTAATCATAAACTCTTTAATCTTGCTTAGGAATTGATTTTGAGATGATTATGTAGCATAGTGTCGACGATCATGGCTTTGTTACCTTAGAGACTTCTAATTGTGTTTTGTTTTCCTCTTAAAGTTTGGAAGAGAAAACATGCTGCATAATGCTCTGATTCATACCTTGCCGGGAGGCCCATCAAAGATGGTTAGGCGACATGTCAAGATTAAGTTTTTTTTTTATTCTCATGCTGCAAAACGTAAAACAACATGAAAAGCTCCATAGAATTTTTTTAAGGATATTTTGTAATTTCATATCAGGATTTCTGCAGAATTTAGAAAATGAAATTCCCCGATTTTCCTGACACATTTTAGTAAATTTCCTTTACATTTGAGGATATGCCATATGGTTAAAATAAAAAGACATCATTTGAAATACTTATTGTGTAAAATTTGTTGTTCGAAACATCAAACCCATTCAAGGAAGCCAATAAAGGTGACTTAATTTTTCCTTGACATTACACAAAACTTACGTCTCATTCTTTGACATTTCCAGACTTTCTCTAGCTTTTTAAAATTCCCTGGTATTTCCTGACTGTAGAAACCCAAATAAACTAATCAAATTTTAAGTCAAAGCAAGTAACTTACCACAAGGTAATACGATGACACCAGACCTAGCACGTCCATTTCCAAACATTTTGCGGAGACTCTTTTCTTGATAAGGACGTAAGACAGCTGATGGCTTGAGATCGATACTGAAAAAAAACGAGACACTGGTCAGAAGGTGTTCATAAAAATATACAGCTTCCTCAGTTCGAAAAAAGCAGCTTTCAAAGGATACAAAAAAATCTGCTGTTGACAGACTTGAAACTGCTTGATTTCTAAATACATAAGTGCAGTCAAATTGATAAGATAGCTTACAATCAAGACTATAGTGCCAACAGAATTCAGGAAAAAATTCTCTGATTATGCCATATTTTCTCTGATCAAAATAGGTAACAACAATTTCCAGGCTCAATCAACACTCTACCGTAGTGCTTAAGTAGGTAAGTTATATAATATTTGCTCCTAATTTCGAAATTAACTTCTAAATCCTTCATTTGGTACTGAAGTGCAGTTTTTTTGAAATTTCTATAGTACATACATAAAGTCGCTTTTATAGCGCCGCCTCGCGCTCTGCGACGCCCAATCGCCATTGCCCCCTATCCTCCCAGAGATCATCAGGCAATTGGCACCTTCTGATCTCCTCCTCCACCCCTTGTCGCCAACCTTTCACAGGACGTCCACGCCGTCGCCTTCCGGGAGGAACCCAATCGAAGACCTGCTTGGGCAACCGGTCGTCTGCCATCCTTCGCACATGTCCATACCAGACCAACTGCTTGGACCTGATATCGTGCACGATGTCCTTCTCTACACCCATGATCTCTAATTTCTGTAGTACGTTTTGAAAACCCAAACAATAGAGAAATCATGTGTGGACTCGGTAAATGGCACCCAGTTTTTCAATTCATTTTCTGAAAATACTGAGTGAACCGAGCCTCTAGGAATTTTTTCATCAACTACATCAACTCAACTGACCAATCTCGATTAGCTTTTCCTTCCCTACGAAATGCTTTATTGAGCTTTTTAAGGAACTTTTAGGGGTTTCCACAAAATTTAATTGAAAGAATTGCTACAACCCTTCAAAAATTCCTTGCTGTTGCCCCATTCTTATCTTGACTCTAAAGTCACTGATACCTCTCCGCTTTTCTCAAAAATTCGTTTTTTTTAAAAAAAACCCCTTGTGCTAGAAATTTGAATATGTGAAATAAAAAATACGCACATTGTGCATTATGGAATGTATTTTAGACCTTTTTTAATGTTCTCATTATTACTAGGGGGCAGTTTTACAATTAAATGTCCATTCATTTATGTGTATTCCTTCTGTGCAACAGAGCTATTGACATGGCACTCGTAAAAATTTTCAAAGGATTTAAAAAAAAAATACAAACAGAGAAAATAATACCATCCCTCCATCTTCTCTAGGTTTGATAGAGAAAAAATAATCATACTTAGTATCAGGATTGACTGTATCATTGCGGAAATCATACTCTGCCAGTAAAGGATGTTCCAGTTCAATACACCTTTTCTGAATGACTTCAATTTTTTCCTGGAAAGAAAAAAAAATTAATGAACAATATTTTGCATTTCAATGGATAAGGGACTTGAGAGAGCAGAGCTGGTGCTCGAATTAGCATTTTGGAACCTGGTCCTAACTCCAATTACCAACTAAAACTTCATACATGTCTATGATCGATTGGAACCTGTAGAAAATGATGATAGGTAGGTAGTTCAGTCTAAATTTTGGCTTAACACCTGCTATATTTAGAGACCCATCGAGCTATAGGACCGACCAAGTTTTATAGCTGGTTTTGCGATTTGTAGACAAATCACTTGTGCAATCTAAGATTCTTCAAGTTGCAATGCACTGTCAGCTTTCGTTTGCATGAGAACTGGTCTACAGTTCACAGCCTAGGTAGACTTCGCACAAAACAGAAAAACCCTCCATCTCAAATTTTGATGGATTTTATTTGAAGCAAGTATTAAAGCTTTTTAACTCCACCAAAGTACTAACTTACTCAAAAATAATGAATGATTATTCTGTTAAGTACATAATTAAATTTCACCGATGAATTGCTGAAATATTAGTTTCAATTTGATTCCTGATTTAGTCATGTACATTCATAAGAAAAGATGGCTTCCTCAAACTCTACATTTAAGATCAACAAAATTTTTGTAATACCTATGGTACATAAATTCCATGCTAGAAGAATAATTTTGGTCTTATTGTCAGTGTGTCTACAAATTTGGAGGGAAAAATTCACAGACTTTTCAATGTTTTCCATGACAAAAATGATACAAATTCCCTGACTTTTCACAACAACAGTTCCCTTGCATATGACTGAAAATGAAAAAATTTTGGCATTAATTTCACTGCAAATGACAGACACATGAGAGCCTTTTTTCTTCAGGTATTAATCTTTCGATTAATTAAAATTGAAAATTATTCCTCTACTCACTATTCAACTGGTGACTTATACCACTGAACTAATGGCTAAACTAAGATTCAGTTTGATGGGTTGATTGAGTTTTATTGAGATCAGCGCAGATGTTTTTTCTGATTTTAAATTTCAAGATATTTGAAATTTAAAATCTTTCATTTGATTTCCTCACTTTTCCCTGATTTCCTTGACCTGAAAAAATTCCCTATTTTCTCAGTCTTCCAGACTTGTAGACACCCTGTATTGTAAGTACTAGACTTAATTCAGGAGAAACATATTAAAGAGAGAAATATACAAAAAACGTTATTTTACCTGATTTACTTCAAAAGAGACGGTTTTCAGAGATGTATCCTCTTCATTATCTTCTTCTGCTTTGTCCATTTTTTCGTAAAAGTCAGTGATGTCATCCGGCACTGCCTCGCCATTTTTTTCATCAGGTTTCGACTGATCTGTGGCAGAAGATGTTGAAGCTTCTCCATGAAACTGGGGGAAAAAAACAGATGCAATTTTTTTATGATATCAGAGTATGGTGCAAAAAAATATTTAACCAACAGCGGACTTTATTGGGCAGTATTAGATTAAGGAAGGGACAATATTTCGTTTCCTTCTCTCTCAAAAAACAGTGAGGAAAGAGAAAAACAGAAAAATTTCTGACGTTGAGTAATGAGACATGAAAAACAAAACAAGGAAAATAAGGGTCACAGTTAACTCCTTTCATATCTAAGTTCCGACTTCAGTAAGTTATAATAATCACATGAAGTGCAAAAATTAGGGCCAAATACCAAACACAGCATCTAATGATGTGTGCAATAATGTCCTCTAAATGAATTATTTCACATAGTTCTCTTCTCTGAACTTTACGATGAAGCCTAAATAGATGGTTGCACATAGTGCTAGCTTACAACACAGCCTGAATACATAAAACAGCATATCCTAAAACGTCATTGATAATGCTACGAAAAACTACGCTTTTGGGTCATTACTACTAAAAAGGCACTAACCTAAAGATCACATGTCATCTGACTTAGCTTTGGGTGAACCATAAGGTTACTCTGCTAGACTTTACAATCAGCAATTTCTGAGTATGAGCATGAAGTTCTGACTTTTTAAGGTTGTCTTCTCCTGCATGATGAAACATTTTGTCTGTCCTGTTTCAATATTTTTAAAAAAATTGTATTCTTTTACATAAGAACTAGTCTGAATATTCCAGAGTTTATTTCTACAAGATTAGAGAAAAGTCATCAGAAATTTCAGGAAAGTTAATGAGACTGTTTTCCTATAAACAAAGTGTGAGTAAGAAACACTGAAACAGAGCAATCGAGATGCGTTTCTACATGCAGGAGATGAGAAGTTACGAGTTAGGAGATGTGAATTACGTTACTGTATTTTTTGTGGGTAACTTAGGAGAAATACTTGTGAATGAGTCAAATAATTTTGTTACAATAAAATCGACTCGGACTGGATATTAGGTTTGAACAGGACAAATAGCACTTTTTTATGTATTTATTTTTTTTATTGTCGTTTTAATTTGGTTTTTCATTTGAAGGTTACTGTTTGTTAAGCTAATAGCACAGAATCATTGAATGATTTATTGCCTACCTGAGGAATGACTGCTTTTTCTTGAGTATCAGTGATGAGCGTATCTTTATCAGCTGTCCTTCTCAAGCGGCATTCTTGAATCACTGGATCCTTCAGGAGCTTTTGTAGGACTTCTGGATATGGAGATTCAATAAAATATCGATTGTGTTTCAGGACTAGTTTCACCTGCAAAATAAAAATTAGATATAAGAGTAGGAATTATTTCTCAACGCGGCCAGTCATCAATGACGTAACACTGTAGGGGGAGGAAGGTTGGAGAAAACGTTATGCCAGTTTGCTCTTAGGTGTTTAAGGATAGGGATCTACGTCACAAAAGCCGTTTAAGGAGGAGGAGGGGGGTGGCAAAAATGCTGACAAAGTCCGTTAAGTAATTTATAAACGCTCCTGAAGAGGAGCTCATCTTCTTTTCTTACTATTTCCTGGAGGAGGGAACATTAATGCATCATGGTATCTTACTCTGAGTGAAAAATAGCGAAAAGGTCTGAACATTCTAAATATTGCAAGCAAAGAAAAAATTATAAAAAGAAAAAACAACTAGATATAGAGGAAAAGGAAAATATAGATGGTCCAAGACAAAAAATGTTGCGACAAAAAAATAATTAGAAGAAATGAAAGCTTGTCAATATAACTTTCTCTTTACAGTTCCTTTGTTGTTTACAATTCATTTAATAAACCATGAACATTCATGAATTTTTATTAACCCATTCGCATACTGGCTTTGTTCCCCCTCCGCACCAAGCAGTGCAAGCAACCAGGAGGGCAACAGAATACACTTGAATTATCTTTAGAACTATATTCAGGGCCCTACTTATCCAGAGGGAGTTGCAATCAAGTTACATATTTTTCCTTTAATTACGGGAAAATGGGGCTGAGACTTAAGAATCGTAGTCATAGTCCTAGTTTTGTGGAAATTTTAGCATTGCGCCACTAAAGGTATGGAGACAAGGTGCAGACTTTTACAGAGTGACTCGCCTTCAATCCGGCTAGCTGCAATATGCCTACGCCCATAGTTGAATGTTATCTTGTTGAGCATGCTGATATTGCACTCAAATATTAACAGCTCTGTGCGAAAAAGAGCATATTTAATTCCAATCTAAACGTTCATCTCATGTCATACTTTTGATGGACGTCTTTTAGACAGTTACCTACAATTTTTCTAGAGAGTTTCTGGCCAAATGGGCTTGAAAATAAACAAAATATGAGTTAGTTTTTGAAATCTAGGATTACATAATTGGGGAATACATGCATTTTATAACTTTGTTCAAATCATTCGCATAACTTAACTTACATCTGCTGTGTTAAAACTATGTCATAGTATCTCGTTCATGAGGTAAATTCTGAACTTCCCACTGGTACAAATTGGAAAAGAAAAAATGTGACTCTTTTTCTGGTTCAGACCATGTCTGGTGTATGAACAAAAAAAACAGCGATGTATTACCTTGCCATATGAGAGTGTACATAGATTGATAAATTCGACAATTCCATCAGGTACCGATGTTTTGCTTAAACGTTTCAGGTATTCAATGATATCCTTTGTTTCTAGACCGACGCTCACAGCCGCATACAAGGAGTAAGCAGTTAACTTATACTGAGGAAAAATGAAACAGAGAGAAAGCAAAAAAAAAAACTGTTAAAAATTAAATCTTTTACATAATTGGTCAATAATTTAATTTTCAGTATTTCAAACTTCGGCTGTCCAACAATGTTTTGCTAAACATCCTGATAGTGCAACACTTGCAAATGATTATTCCTAAGCTTATATGCAGCTCCTTAGAATCTACTACAGTTTTTAAGAACACAGCAATATATTTTTTTTAATTCCCATTCTATAATTTGTAGCAGTCTCTATAAGGGGGCACTGAAAGGACCACGTATAAAATTCCAAAGAATTTGAAGCCGAATAAATTTCAATCATGTTTCATTTGATATTCTGTTTTACCTCTTGAGCTCAATGAGCTGTTAAAGTGGATCTTCTTATAAGTCAATGTAGAGAGAAATGGGCTGAAAAGTGAGTTTTTTGGTATTCTTACTGGCACAAAAGAGGAGTCTCGGCTTTCATCATTCCCAAGATGTAAAGGGATATGATTACGGGATCATGCAAAAACAACCTCAATTGATTTTGAAGGATTTCAGGATATCCATCATAAATAGAGCGCATTGAAGAGGTGATAGTGATAAGCTTTGTGGGAGTCATGCTTTTATTGGCATAACACATGATTGACCGTTTTCATATTTTTACCCTGAGGATAGGAAGATGTTACAATTCATGAGTACCTCAACTTGATAGAGTTAAGCAAATCAGTAATTTCTACCTTACGGTTTTTTAAAAATCTTATCTCCTACGTACTTTAATTTTTTGGAAGGAAAGGAATCACATTCCTACTCAAAAATTTTAGCAATTTTTTTTGCCCTTGTGAATGTTATTTCCACAAAATTTTAAGTAAAAATGTTGGTTAGTTTCCTTCTTCAGTATTAAAATAATGGATGAGATGTTGAAACACTGCATTGTAGATATGACTGTTTCACGTAACTCAATCAAAATCTTATTGCATCAGGAAAACTTTCTTGTTGCTAAGAATGATAAATAATTCAAAGTTGCAGAGGAATTTGAAGTAACATACCTCATGAATGAATTCAGGTCTACACACCGGTTCAGCGATTGCAATCAAAAAATCATGGGCATGCTTGTAAACAGGAGAAAAAGTTTCCAGAAATATGTGACCATTGGGTGCCTGAGAAATTGAATAAGAAATACATGTAAAAAGGTTTGTGATAAAAATCCAGGGATATGAACCCTGGGGCCTTTTTTGTTGATTGCTGCTTCAAGGATATCGCAAAGGATAAATTATACCTCTCGTATTTTTCAAATTGAAATACCTGGATGACTTTGAATATTTTCAAACAGGTGCTTCAGAGTTGAGATGAAGAACTGAAAAGACCAGTGCTTGTGAATACAACTATAGAATTTTCACCTCCAAATAAAATTTTTTTAATTCAACCTTGCAATATAGATATTATAAAGAAGATCAAAGCAAAGTATAGGTAGAGCAAGAGAAGTAAAAATTGGAAATTTCCTCTGTTTTTCCAATGTTTCCAGGGAAACTTAGGTTTATCAGGACATCAGCTTGGTTGGGTCAAAATTGCCCGAAACTGTCCTGACTGAGCAGAGTTGACTTTACTCGAGATTGCATCCACTTGACCCTTCACACATGTAATATGAGTTTTACAGTACACTATTGTTTTCCATTTTGTTGGACATTGGACTTCTTGTTAATGATTGAATAAGGAGCTGAAGTTTCAGTTTTCATGAGAAGAATACTTACAACCCATAGAGGCCGATTCTCATGATCTGCTTTTAAAATCATCTGTTTGCGGTAGTCTTTGGCCCCAAATTCATCCTCTGGCACTCCTTCATCAACAGTTTCAACATTGGCCTTTGCTGCAACTGGTATTCCATCTTTAAACACAAAAACATGTTAATTAGATGAAACATAAACATTTTAATGATGCAACATGATGCATTATTAGATACATTATAACTTACAAGTGTAAAGTTCCCTGATTGAAATTTCACATAAAATCCAGTGGAGGCATTAAAAATGCTGAACGAGCAGGTAGCAGTGGTCTCAGCTATTGTTTATCCGCATGGCTACTGCTCCAAGAAATGAGCACCCCTAAAATATTATGGGCTCTCCTTCCGGAACCCTCTTCTGATAGGGAAACAGGTGTTGTTCAATGATACATTAAGTTGAAGGGCCATGGCAGTATGATGTTTCTCTTCCCATAGCATCAATGAGAAACATCTATCTCCCTGATTTTTGAGCATCTACATACTTGTATGTATGCATGTTTTCAGTATCCTATACTACACCTCATAATATCCTGATTTTCATTTTCCTCATCTTATTTTCCATTGTATAAAAAGTTTCACAGCTATTTGTGTGTTACCTACTTATAATTAAGTAGGCCATACTGCCACAAATGCTAGCAATCTGCTTGTTTTCTGTTTCCAACTAGAGAACTCAACTTTCTTCTGTAGTGAGATATTAGCTTTATGCTGAATTTAAGGCACCTTGGCTAAAAAATTCCGCCATACCGTCTTACAATCCATGCGTCCACCGCAATCAGTTTGTGTAAAACCGCCTTGCCAAGGCATATGCGGAGCTGTTTGAATAATCGCTCACTAGATGGCGCAAGTTTACTTGCCGCCAGCAACTGCTTGCCCATGTCTCGGGCCGTTTTTGACCTCTCCGAGCTTGGTAGCAGAAAATTCAGGAGGCTGCACTGCACTGAGGATTGGCGCAACAAGGCCGAAACGAGTCTGCAGTTACCTTCCTGAATAGTGGTTACTAATGTTGCACCAAACAGCTTATCTCTTTGATGGAAAATTGTGCTTGTGTGTGAGCTCTTTTCCTCTGTAGTGAGATATCAGCTTTATGCTGAATTTAACGCACGTTGGCTAAAAAACAACATACCAACCAGAGAACTGATCAGTATTTTGAACCAATGACAAAACAGGAGAATTGATTCGTAAATATTATATTGCTTTTAAAGATGATAACAAGAAAACACTATGTTACCTGCATCCACTGCTTCTCCAGGAGTATCTACCATGTATTCGTCTTCTTCTTCATCCTCTTTTTTCCTCTTCTTAGACTTCTTTTCTGAATGAGTGAACAGAAAAAAAAAGTGATTTTAGATTATTTCGTTTGTTTTTATGAAACTTTAATATTGACCAGCTTTTTTCTGAAACGTGGGTGAAGAGAGTCCAGAAATATAAGGTAAGGTACTGGCATGACATGCTATAAGAACAGTTGAATACACTGCTCGGTTTGGTTCTTAAATGGCCAGAACTGAGAATTGGATTTCAAATTTTCTTGCTCTCAGATTTCAAAGTTAATGAGCCTTTTATTCTTTGTCAAATATTGTGTGATTTTACCTCATTGCAAAACCTGATTGAAAAGGGGGAAAAAATATACCTACTTAAAGCGAGTATTGTCATCAGATGAAATTGAATTACCACCAATGTAAACTTTGTAAGACATACAAATTTTAGGTTGTATACTCAAGTCCTGTTTAATATTAGAATAAGGGTCAAAGTTCGGAAAAATGTGGTATTCACACAATGGTAAGTGCAAATCACCTGCGTTAACCTCGGCTAATATTTCTGCCTAATATATAACACTTTCATTACTCCAAAGTAGGCAATGGTAGCCCCAGGACCAGAAATTTTCGAAGCAAATATGTTTCTGTAATCGCACATACCTTGAGCCCGTTTCAGACGATCAAAGTAGTGCTCTCAAAGTGACGTCACGTGGGGTAACGTGACCCTCGAAGATTGTTGGCCCAACAACCTTTGAGGGCAATGGAGGGTCACGTAACTGCTTGTGTTGCCACTTTGAGAGCTCTATTTTGATCGTATGATATGGGCTTTGCAATAAGATCATTTTGATTGTTTCACCAGATAAAGAAATTCCTTTTCCGCAGAAAGTTACTTTCAGCGCTTCGCTCATTACACTCGTCACACCTTCAATTGGTCCAGACTCTAAGTGCTTACCACCAAATTTATGTTTGCAGAAAAATTTGAAGCTCTTTGAAGGTGGCGTGAAAAAGACCAAAAGAAGAGAGAAAAAAAGAATCCTTGATAAAGTATCTGATTAGTTGAGTACCTGAATCCTTCTTGCTGCGTTTCATGCCTCCCATTTCTGAAAAACTTTAATGATGACAGATGATAATAGAGTTAAATCACGATCATAAAATAATTATGAAGCCATACAATTTTAAAAAAAAAAGGAAATTCCCATAATAGTGAAGCTTAAAAGAACTTTTCCTGATCACACCGATAATTTTTTGCATGCAAACTTGTGAAGAAGATCATAACAAAGTTGATTGGTGATTTTCTTGCTTTATTTAATGATGTTTGGTGGAAAACATCAGCCACGTTGTTGTGATTAGAATTTTGACGTTTTTGTGGTTATAAACATATTTTTCTCGGAGAAAAGAAGATACACAATCTACTTAATTTTTAGTGTATTCGCCACTTTTCATTCCAATTTGTTTTCTTACTACCGCGCTAGACAGATAAGTTTTGTTGCACATTATGCGCCTCGTTGCGTAGTGACTCAACCGTGGGATTCCTGTGCCAGTTTTCCTCACTATCAGTGGCCCATCATGGCTGTTGTGAAAGAACAATCAATTCCATTTCCCAGTGGCTAATCTTCTGCACGTTTGAACTTCTTATACTCTTATTTTTATACTACACTGCAATTTCGGACTTGTTCAAACCCAGCTCAACAGTATAATCCTCTCTCATCAAACCCTCCATCTGGATGCCTGGCGAGCGGCCAGTTGAGAGCAGACTCGTAACCTTGCATCCTGAGCCCTTCGACTCCTAGCCTTTTGAGCACACTTCAGCCTTCCATCGAGCTCAGATTCACCTGAATATTGTTGGTTAGCGGTATCATAGTAAGAGATAAATTCATATTAGTAATATTTTGTATCTATATCAGCTTAAAGTACCATGACCTAAGTTTTTGTAGCAGTCGAATTTATTGCTGTAACGATTTCTGTAAGAGTTGTACTTCATTAACTTCTACTGCTAGGTCTATATTTTCTCTCATTTTGTCCTAAGAATCTTACTTTCAGGTCAAAACCCTCTCGACGTCTGACAGTAGATGTCAGGTACTGCTTAAATCTAATTTCATTTCAAGGATCTTCTAAACCGGCAAGATGGTGTTAGCAGATTTAGGAAGAAAAATTTCTCTGGCCTTTAGGTCATTGAACAATGCCACAATTATCAATGAGGAAGTTTTAAATTCTATGTTAAAAGAAGTATGCGCAGCTTTGTTAGAAGCTGATGTTAATATTCGTCTAGTAAAGAAACTTCGCGAAAATGTGAAAGCTGTAATAGATTTTGATGTTATGGCCAGTGGAATGAGCAAGCGCAAAGCCATTCAAACTGCAGTATTTCAAGAATTAGTTAAATTAGTTGACCCTGGAGTGAAAGCATTTCAGCCAAAGAAGGACAAAGTCAATATCATTATGTTCGTAGGTCTGCAAGGATCTGGAAAAACAACCACCTGTACAAAGTTAGCCTATCATTACCTAAAAAAGAACTGGAAAGCATGTCTAGTCTGTGCAGATACCTTCCGAGCTGGTGCCTACGACCAGCTAAAACAAAATGCAACGAAAGCTAGAATACCCTTCTATGGAAGCTATACAGAAGTAGATCCTGTAGTGATAGCTCAAGATGGTGTAGAGATGTTCAAAAAAGAAGGGTTTGAAATTATAATTGTTGACACAAGTGGAAGGCATAAGCAAGAAGAATCTCTTTTCGAAGAAATGTTGTCTGTCGCTAATGCCATCAAACCTGACAATATCGTTTTTGTGATGGATGCAACAATTGGTCAGGCCTGTGAATCTCAAGCTCTTGCCTTTAAGGAGAAGGTAAATGTAGGATCAGTTATCATTACAAAACTGGATGGCCATGCCAAGGGTGGTGGAGCTCTCAGTGCTGTTGCTGCAACGAAGAGTCCCATCATATTCATTGGTACTGGTGAGCACATTGATGACTTTGAGCCGTTTAAAACTAAACCATTTGTCTCAAAGTTGCTTGGCATGGGAGATATTGAGGGTTTGATTGATAAAGTAAATGAATTAAACTTGGATGATAATGAAGAGTTGATTGAGAAAATAAAACATGGTCAGTTCACACTACGAGATATGTATGAGCAATTTGACAACATCATGAAAATGGGGCCATTCTCACAAATCATGGGAATGATACCTGGTTTCAGTCAAGATTTTATGTCAAAAGGTAGTGAACAAGAGTCAATGGCCAGACTCAGGAGGCTCATGACAATTATGGACAGCATGAACGATGGAGAATTGGATAACAAAGATGGAGCTAAGCTGTTCACCAAGGAAACGGGTAGAATTGTCAGAGTAGCTCAAGGCTCTGGTGTAACGGAGAAAGAAGTCAAAGACTTAATCTCTCAGTACACTAAGTTTGCAGCTGTTGTGAAGAAGATGGGTGGTATCAAAGGTCTCTTCAAAGGAGGAGATATGATGAAGAACGTCAACCAAGCTCAGATGGCCAAACTCAACCAACAAATGGCCAAGATGATGGATCCCAGGGTCTTGCATCAAATGGGCGGTATGTCAGGATTGCAGAACATGATGCGACAATTGCAGCAAGGTGCCATGGGCGGATTAGGTAATTTAATGGGTGGTTTTGGAAACAAATCTTGATCTTCATAATATGCCTACATACTGCCTAATTGTTTCGAATATTCAAAATAGTTCTTCAAACAAAAGTCTTTTTGATTGGACAAAAAGTTAGGAAACAACTACCTTCTGTCTTTAAAATGATTTCCTTCCAGAAATTTTCTACTGACTAGATTTGCTCAACAGCAAATTCTGTGGCAATCTTGTCATACTATATGTATGACACTAATCAAAATCAGCCTAGCTGCATTTTACGTCGCCTAATTTCTTTCCAATTTGTATTATTTTAACAGAGAACCCAACAATATCACGCCTCAAAACTTTCTGTAAATCACTTAATTGTAAGCAACATACATTTCAAGTCAAAATGAGCAGGTACCTTCTTCTTTTCTGAATAATATAATACTTTAGAGATATAAATGAGAAAAAATTAGGCAATGTCAATTGTAGTCAGGTTCATTCTGGTTAAAAATTTCCACATGTAGATAATCGAGTATTTTGTTCATTGGTTTCCAAACTGTTTGTTTTAATTTTTTATGAAGAACTGGATTTTTTTCAAATAGGTACCTACGAATTTAATGTAAAATGAAAAGGAAACAAGGATACATTAATCAATTCTTACCAATTACCATAATCAGTGGTACTTCTAAAGGTTCCTGAAAACAGCAGGTGTCCTTTTCTTTGCCCCTTTCTCTTTGTTAAGTAATTTTTGTTATGTATCACTCATTCTGTTTGTAGTCAGTACCTGTTATGATACTTGAATGATGGTTATCGGATGCTTTCTACTTTCTTGTCTATATTGTCTATATTACTCTTGTCTCTTGTTGGATTGGAAAATTAGACTAATTCTTATGAATAAAAAGCATCTTTTTGTATCATCATATTGTCGTTTTCGGTACTTACAATCAGCTTTGCAATCATCAAAAGACTAGTTATCTCACAGTGGCAACCATTTTGATGAGGTACCTACTAGGTTTGACTCTTCATGCCAAATTTTGGTTGGAAAAAATCAGAATTCTCCACCAGCGAATATTAAAAAAAAAAAAAAAAAAAAAAAAAAAAAAAATGAATTTCTAGTTATTTTCAATTTTTCTATCTTCAGCCTGAAGTTTGGCAAAGGAATAAAATGTTTCTTAATTATACTGTATTACTGTAACAATATTAGTCTCCCTACAAAGAGTACCTGTTACTTAGGTTCCTTTTTATCATCATGAAGTCAGCCAGTCTAATGAAGGCCATGTTGTAGAGTTTCTATTAATACTCACTCTGAAGGAATCTCAGTCGAATGAAAAATATTTTTTTCTTGTTTCTTGTACCTACTTATTGTTCTACATTTACTTGATTTATCCCAAACCAAGGAGTTGCAAAAAACAAGGAGAGCAAAATTGCGACCCTGGTAAAAATGGCAAGTGTTAGGTCAGTGAATTTTCCACTGAGGTCAGTGCAATTTGCTCTGAGGTCAGTTCAGTTTTCTCTGACGTAAGTGTTAAAGCACTGACCCAAGAAGTAAGCACTGAGGTAAGAGGCACTGACGTCGGGAGGAAGACTTACCTAAGTGCATAGATATCTTTGAGGTAAGCGGGACTGAGGTCAGGACTTGGTTCAGAGGGTAAGTCTCTGATATCAGTCTTAATCGAACCGCACTCACTCCCAAAAAATAGAGATGGCTCCCTCTTCCCCCACCCTATTTTATTTTCGTGGGGGAATATTCCTTGGGATACGGGGACCACAAACTTTATCTTACGGAGAGGCATATTTTTTATGAGGGGGATTTTCTAAGAGGGAAGGAAAACTTGTTTAGGTAGCCACACTCTTGAAAAATTTGTTTAACCTTCTTCGTTTATGATGGCACTTAAATAATTAAAACACAAAAAAATGAGATCGGTAAAAATATTATCACCGCTATAATATGTATTTAGATGTAGTTATTTAAGCATTATTATTTTTTTAACTTAAGAGTAAAAAAAAAATTAAATTTGGTTTAATTTTTTTTCAGTTTTAACTCTTTTTAAAATGTCCCAGTCTTAATTTTTTTAAAATTTTCCCAATTTATTTTTAATTATTTTCCAACTTTTTTACTCCTTTAAGTACTTTCAATTTTTGTATCTGCTAATTTATATTTTTTGTATCATTTCAACTTTGATTATTTTTTTTACATCCTCAGCTCTAATTTTGAATTTTAATGCATTCCATTTTTTTTTTTTTTTAAAAAAAACATAACATATAAAACTTCATTTTCATGTTGATTGATTGAAAAAGAATAATAAAAAAATTAAGTATCGGATTCAAATTCAAAGACAAAATCATCATTTGCTGTCAAAATTACTCCAATGGGGGCCCTGAAATGACATAATTACGCCCCTAGCACTTACACGCGCAGGTAGTGTAGTGGTTCAGTCGCTAGGTCGATCACCGAAGATATGCTACGTCGGGCGTAGTTAGTATTTAGATTGGAGACCGCATGGGAACGAGCGTTGTCCACTGAAGATTGTGATGATTACTTGTGATGGAAAACTCACAGTAGCCCTCCCTGGTCGTCAAATAGTGAATTAACGTACCTGGCGGATCGGTAATTAACTAAATTTCTGCCTCTACAGTATTTCTGGGAGTTTCCACACCGCTTACGTCGGAGACACTTAGGTCAGTGCCACTTACATCAGAGGCACTTGCCTTTGGAACAGACCTAACACTGACGTAGCAGATCAGCGCCCGGCAGCACTTACATCAGTGTTTAGGTCTGTTCCAAAGGCAAGTGCTACTGATCTGAGCACTTGCCATTTTTACCAGGGGATGCTGTAAGAACTCATACAGTTCATGAATTACTTGATTGTCAATTTCATCACTTGACCTTTAAGTGTGTATTTTTCAAGATATTACTCACCAAGAAATCCAACAAATTTGTAGGCATGATTTTCCGTGGTGCCTCATTTAAATTAAAACATCAAGTGTTGCCAAATTTGAAATGTTTAATGCAAATAGACCTGCACAAAAATGCTCAGTCGAGGGGCTTGGAGGACAAAGCGCATAAGAGCAGTTTTTGGAAAAATTAAGATATTAATGATGTCAAGTAAAACTAGTTTTAGTACTTTTTCCGTGAAAAATTCCCTCCCAAATTCCCATTTTTAAGCATAAAAAAGGCGTTGTACTTTCTTTCCCCCATGGGGATCCACGTAATTTCGAAACCTCAAACACATGTTTCTCGAAATAGCAAAAACTGCACCTATGCGCCTTGCCCTCCAAGCCCGTCCATTACCTACAATATCCGTCAATTTTATATCGCCGAACTAAAATTGTCCTTGAAGGGTTTGGCTCAGACTCCAAATTGTGGAGTCGGAGGCCCATATGCACTTTGTTATTATGCATCATTGCAGCAACAGTTTCTACATATTCTTGTCCAGCCACTTTTTAAGAAGGCCGAAGAACATAACTTGCAGGCCTCCAACAGAATTCAATACTTTCTCGGAAAAACTTAGGGAGACGATTGGGTTTGGTCCTAGTAGCAACAATCGTCGAAAAAACATAACAGCAACCCTATATTTTAAAAAGACAGCTCTTAAAAAAGCTGTCAAAATGGTTGTTACAGAAAACTCTTTTTGAGTAGGTATTTTTTAAGTATTTACGACAGTTGAATTTAAATAATAAAGTGTTGAGCAACTCAAGTGTCAACTGTAGTTTTCCAACACTAAAAATATTTTACTTAAAACAACTCTTGAAAAATGGCAATTTCCAAGTAATGTTTCAGTTAATTTCACAAATGAGTTAATATTTTCTTAACTATTAGCCAAAGAGAGTTTCCTTCCTAAAACGAAAATTTTAACAGTTTCTTAAATTTTTTTAAAAGGTCATTACCTACCTCTTGGGATGTAACAAAATCTGCTGATGCCTGTTCCTCCATTTCTGACGTTTTTTTTTATTTTTTCCAAAAATTATGTGCAACTGCATGAAAGGCATAAATACTCATTTTAGGATGAAACTTATTTGAAATGAGTCTTTTCACCACTTCCATGATTGTGTTCTCCCTTGCAGAAAGTACCCACCAATGCTAAACCAAAAACAACTTCTAACAGGAAACTTGGAAATCTTCCGCCTGATTTTGTAGGAACCGATTTAAATATCTTCGCCTCGCATCGTCCTTTTGCCCTCATGAAAGAGAGCAATTTTTTTTCTCAGGAACAAGAATGTAAGGCGATGAAAGATATATCCGTAGGTCTGAGTTTGCTGTTATGCTACTTTGATGAAGAGCTTTTAATTATGGGAATGTGGAGATACTATCGTCAGTCCAATATTTATCTATTTATCGCGTTCGGCTTCAAATTCATATTTTTTGCCCTTAAATGTGTCCTCATTGACATTTGTTTTTGTTGGTCGATGGACGGAGAGACCGTGATCTGCAGCGGCAAACTTTTCAGGTAAGTGATTTTTCTTAAATTACCTACGTAAAACCATCAGAATTTGAATTTTTGACCACTGCCAATCTGAAGCATCCGTGTGGACATGTTATGACTGGTCTAAAGCATAGTTTTGTACTCAGCCAACAGTGTTCATAAAACTTCATTCGAGAGCCCCTCCCCCTTTCTCCTGGTGGATTAAAACATTCACATAGTGGGACGGAATATAACAAAAGAACATGAACTATGCAACACGATAATCCGGGTATCGGAACTTGGCTGTTTGGAAAACGCCTTCAAATGCGGCGTGATACCTACCTCACGCGTTCCGCAGAGTTCGAATAGTTGTATCATTGCGCCTTAGAATGTGACGGAAGGTTACAATTGAAATTGCCTTCATGCACGCTGGCCTTTTCGATTTCCGTTAACATTTTTGCAGTCATGAATGCGCTTAAGTGCGCTTCAGCTAGAATTGTATTTACAAATGGGTGGTTCTTCTATGAGGATTAAAAATAAACATGTGGCACGGAATACAACAAAGTAAAATAAATGATGCAAAACGATAATCCGGGTATCGGAACCTGGCTATTTTGAAAACGAATTCAAATGCGGCATGATACCTCACGCGTTCCGGAGAGTTCAAATAGTTGTATCGTCGCGCCTTAGTATGTGACGGAAGGTTACAATTGAAATAGCATTCATGCACGCTGGCCTTTTCGATTTCCGTTAACATTTTCGCTGTGATGAATGCATAGCTGAAGTGCGCTTCAGCTAGAATTGTATATAGCAAATGAGTGGTTTTTCTACGATGATTAAAAATAAACAAGTGGTACGGAATACAACAGCGTAATATGAACGATGCAAAACGATAATCCGAGTATCGGAACTTGGCTGTTTTGAAAACGCCTTCAAATGCGGCGTGATAACTCACGCATTCCGGAGAGTTCAAGTAGTTGTATCATTGCGCCGTAAGAATATGACGGAAGATTTGAATGGAAATAGCCTCCATGCACGCTGGGCGTGTCGATTTCCTTTGACATTTTTGCAGTGGTGAATGCATAGCTAAAGTGCGCTTCAGCTAGAATTGTATTTACAAATGGGTGGTTTTTCTACGAGAATTAAAAATAAACAAGTGGCACGGAATACAACAAAGTAATATGAACTATGCAAAACGATAATCCGGGTATCGGAACTAAGCTGTTTTGAAAACGCCTTCAAATGCGGCGTGATACCTCACGGGTTCCGGAGAGTTCAAATAGTTGTATCATTGCGCCGTATGAATGTGACGGAAGATTTAAATGGAAATAGCCTTCATTAGGGTGCGTCAAAAAAAATGAAAGTCTGAAATGTTCCGCTCCCCAGGCGGAAATCGATGACGTTTGGTAAAAAAACATGTTTGCCAAAATTTGGGCCATTTTCAACCATTTTAAATGGTGCCAAAGGTCAATTTTGCGATGAAATTATGATATTTAGGTTTAGACCTCGATTTCTTACAAAAAACTCGATTTTACGCTGAAATCGTGCGTTTACGAGAAAAATGCCAAAGAACTCGACTTATAGAGGATGAAATTTTACACTAGGAGGACGTCTTTATAACCGATAAAAATCAAATTGAACTAGAAAAACTCAACTTGGTATTTATTTTTTTGGTCCTCAGAATTTCCGAGGTCTTACAAAGTAGAGGTTTAAAAGTAGTAGGTAAAAAAGTAGAGGTCATTTTTCACGACAATAAGTCAAAAGAGGGTATAAATGAACTGTAGGGAAGTGTTGAGGATGCAAATGTCATCAGAACTTCCTCAGTCTCAAAAAAAGTTCCAACTATTTTCCAAAATCCTCCAAAAAGTGTACGGCTCGAGAAGCAGGATCGTGCTTTAATAGTAAGGGGAAAGTGCGGTTTAACCGGGAAAAATTGCGTAACAAACTTTCCCTATGTAATCGTCATCAGTAGGTCCCCCTGAACAACTTCCTGAAAGTTAAAAATGGCCCGACCCCGGAACACCCTTCAAAAAAGTTAAAATTGAAAATGGCGGCCGTAATAAGAGGGTCCGAGAAATTGGTATTTTAAAATGCTCATTCTGTCTCATCATGTGAGGTATCATTTCCTATGTAATTTTGTTGTCGTAGATTTCATAATGAATTCCACAAGGCCCTCCGGCCAAAGGGGACGCTCTAAATCAAAGATGGCGGCCAAATTTGAAAGGCAGGAGGTTGCATTTTTTAAATATTCACCAAAGGAACAAGGAAAGTGAAGTGTCTTTATTTTCGTGTATTTATGGCCAAGAAACTTAAATTTTATGTTATAAATGTATTTAATAAAGGAAATTAAAGGAGACATACGACTACCGAGAGAAACGTAAGCTCAGAAGGGGCCTTGCGGAATTCATTTATGAAATCTACGACAACAAAATTACATAGGAAATGATACCTCACATGATGAGACAGAATGAGCATTTTAAAATACCAATTTCTCGGACCCTCTTATTACGGCCGCCATTTTCAATTTTAACTTTTTTGAAGGGTGTTCCGGGGTCGGGCCATTTTTAACTTTCAGGAAGTTGTTCAGGGGGACCTACTGATGACGATTACATAGGGAAAGTTTGTTACGCAATTTTTCCCGGTTAAACCGCACTTTCCCCTTACTATTAAAGCACGATCCTGCTTCTCGAGCCGTACACTTTTTGGAGGATTTTGGAAAATAGTTGGAACTTTTTTTGAGACTGAGGAAGTTCTGATGACATTTGCATCCTCAACACTTCCCTACAGTTCATTTATACCCTCTTTCGACTTATTGTCGTGAAAAATGAGTCTTTTAAACCTCTACTTTGTAAGACCTCGGAAATTCTGAGGACCAAAAAAATAAATACCAAGTTGAGTTTTTCTAGTTCAATTTGATTTTTATCGGTTACAAAGACGTCCTCCTAGTGTAAAATTTCATCCTCTACAAGTCGAGTTCTTTGGCATTTTTCTCGTAAACGCACGATTTCAGCGTAAAATCGAGTTTTTTTGTACGAAATCGAGGTCTAAACCTAAATATCATAATTTCATCACAAAATTGACCTTTGGCACCATTTAAAATGGTTGAAAATGGCCCAAATTTTGGCAAACATGTTTTTTTACCAAACGTCATCGATTTCCGCCTGGGGAGTGGAACATTTCAGACTTTCATTTTTTTTGACGCACCCTAAGCCTTCATGCAGGCCCGCCACATCCCATCTCGGGCCCTGGTACCAGTTTTAAGGTCCGGGCCCAAAGCACGGAGGGGAGGGGGGGTCCGAGGGGCATCCCCCGAAAAATTTTAGAATATATACGACTAATCGGACGCATTTTGAAGCTTCCATGAAGAATTTTTCTATTCAAATCAACGGCCACTTATTCCTCAAATTTTATCCTCTGTCGTCCCTACTTCCGCTTTTTCCGGGATCCGCGGGCCACCAAATTGGCAACATTGTCTTTTCTCCATTTAAATATATTGAAGTGTACCGATTCTATGAGGGGCCCGTTGCTCCGACAAGCATCGATTATTTAGCATAGGTTTAAATGGAGGGAGTCCGGTGTTGCCAAATTGCTGGATCCGCGGGCCACAGTTTGAGAACTTCTGCTCTACCTATCGTCAACGTTGCAATAGCCCAAATGGGTGAGGGGGCTTTTGGTACTGATTTTTCCCGCAGCATCCTCACCGGAGTGTTTTGATGGGGCGCGTGGTGACGTCGTCGTCTATCTGAGTCAAAACCGCGTAACTTGCAGCGATGCCCCATCCTGAATCGCGGTTTTTGCTCAGCACGGCAGAGCATTCTTCCAGTCCGGAAGTAACGCATGGGCGGCGGGCGGCCCGTGGAGTGTATTTCCGGAAGCGGCGCAAGGTTGCCAGGTTGTGCGATAAAATGGGGATATTTTACACGGTTTAAACGGGGAATAGTGCTGATTTGTAGCACCATCTGGCAACAATGAAGTGGCTCGGATTCAAACGCCGGCTCAGTGCCCGCTGCTTTGTCCCCAACTTTGCTGACCTCCGTTGTCTACTGGTCGCCAAAAAGCATCAAAATTGAGTAATTTTCCGCCCACTTTTTCCGAGTATCTCGTTTTTTTTTCGGGTAGATGACTGTTCGCGCTCTCCGGTATGTTTGTTGCCTATGCAGTGACTTGAAGGAGGACCTCGGGTGGAAGATGCTTGACGACAGGTTTACGCGTTGTCTATTGGTTCCGGCAAAAAAAGTCAGGAAGGAAGGCGTGAATCCGCATGATAGCATACAGGCGTATGAATGTCATGGTAATTCCTCTCGTAACAGGAACAGTTGAAACAGAAAAAACGAGCGTGTGATTTTAATTTTAGAAATTACTAAATTTGTTACCGGTAAAATGTAAGTATACAAACTTTCATACCCAATACAACTCTTCAAGTGCGTGTGTAATTAGTTAGACGTAGTTTTTTCATGACATTTCGCTCTTCAATGTCAAAAAAAGAAGAAAAAAATGAATATATCTACCTACATTGAATAATGTACCCACATATTTTAATTTATATTATTATATGCGTGTTATTACCTGCGGAAATCTTGTAAATGTTTACTCTTGTTCGTGTACCTTTTGAGCAAGAGCTGACTCGTATAGGCTGCATGGATGCGATTTTTCCTTAACCTCTCGAGAAAATGCAAAGTTTATTGACACCTAGGCGAATTTACTGAATTGCAATGCAAAATTACTCTTTGGTTCAGTGGGGTGCGGGGTTGGTGACATTTCAAAGAGATTATAAACGCAATACACATTATATTGTACACATTTTATTTACTCAACCTACCTCGTAAAGTTAATGCTAAAATATCTAGTTATTTTTCCGAAACTTGACACCATCTAAAACCCGGACGGATCTACCACTGCCCTATTCCCCCTGGACTTAGCTCATTCCCGAAAGAGTTGGCCAGTTGTCGATCCAACAGTTGCGGGGACAGAGATGTCGAGTGATTTTTTTCGACGTGCGAGTGTTACCAGTCGGTGTGTTGCGGGGAGGTCTCCTTTGAGGGCGAAGGCGTTATGATGGAGTTCTCCGGAGACAACCCAGAGAAGCTGCACTTGCCGACTGCGGGCCTGATCTTTGATAGTCGACAGTTAGTCTATCTAACAGAGCATTTTTGCGATCAGGAGAACAATCTGAATGGTATGTATGTATCCTCTGAATCGCAACATCTAAGAACTGTTAATTTATCCAGAATCCTAAAGCATAGCAAATATTTGTGCTGCATATTCAATTTTCAAAATTTCCGGGGGTCCTTTTTGGAAAAATTTACACTTAATTTAAAAAAAAAAAATGCCACTGGTGTCCTAATTACAGGCCAGTAAGAGAACGGTAGCAAAAGAAGTGAACAAATGAATTGTTAAGTTTGAAAATAAATGAATTTGTGAGAACGAAAACGCATTAACTTGGAAACTTTAAAATGCCCAGATTTCATTAAAGGTGCCCAATTTTTAAAAGAGCCCTTGAAAAAGGCGCATTCATGATAACTTTGGAATTTAAAAAATAATAATTGTACTTTGGCACAAAAAACCTTTTTCCTAGACCACCTAACTTATTCTTTACACACTATACGCAGTTTTTTGTGTCTCTTACAAAAATTTCATTTTTCTGAGTTGGTGTGTTCTCACTCTGACTGGTTCAAACTAGGTACTCACGATAGGGAAAAATTGGAAAAGGCGCGTGATTCTTGTAACAAATTGGTTGTTACACCGAGAAAAAAAGCATTATCTTAGTAACCACCGGTGTGGGTAAAATAGCAATTGCCTAGGTATCGCTGAAATCAGGATTTTCATTGGAGATAGGAAATGGCAAGAAGAGTTTTTGCAAAAAGAGAAAAATAAAAAATTGCAAAATGAAATCGCTGGTTCAATCATTTTTCAGCGATTTAGTAGCAGATCAAAAATGACCCACTATAATTTTTCGAAAATCGCAAAATAAGATTGCTAGCTTAGGTATTGCGGTATATTATGAAAAACAAACTCGCAATTCTTACCTTCTTTGTTTTAAGTAGACGCGTTTTGGAGTCTGTCTGGGCCTGGCCTTCGTCCTCAGAGCATATTGAGACAGACCTCTAGCCTCCCTTTTGTATCATAAAACGCCATACATGGAATACACTTTGCCTGTTGGTTAACATTAAATTGACTGTTAGAATAGGATGGTTAAATAGGTTAGGTAAAGCTTCAAGCTTGTACCTATATAATACGATTTCCAGATTAAAGGGACTCGTGCATGTCTATCAAAACGCCTTCCACGAAGGTGTGATACAATATATTCGATTTTACCATTGTTTAAATTGCATAACCGACTATGTGAAGGAGCACGAAAATTGATATTTATCTGTACCTGTGCGCCAGCGATGACGCGACAATGGCTGTCAAAGGATCTTTGTTGATACTGTCGAGTTCGCCTTCAATAACTGTGATGGCAATATGAGCGGCTTGGGAGCTCGAATAGTTGCGCGCGGTAAAGCCTCTTTTACTCATTCTCGGCAAGGATCACTCATTAAAATTTGTCCTCGTCACAAAAGAGTAAAGTGACTTATGAACCCATGGTCAAATTTCTTTACCTCAAAAAAATTTGTTTTCAAGTTGTGTCAAAGAAAGGAGTTTTTTGCAAATTTGTTTTACTTATCACCACAAAAAATTGTTTTCATTACAAGATCAAATACTGCTGGGGTAATGAAACATTATTATGGATTCATATATCAAATGTTGTTTAATTTTCTTTGTTGCATAATTTTTTGTGACGTTGACAATTTTTCTCACGTGATCCGCGCATGTGAAAATACGAATAATCAGAGAACCAGAGACAACATATTTCATTGTGCAACGCAACGAATCCATGAACAAAGTTTCGTTTCACCTTTTTATGGGCCCTTCAACCAATGGTACATTGATTATCGTAGACATGGGTGTAGCGAGCCATTTTTTCACGAAGAGGAGGGGTGGGGGGGTTGTGCCGTTTACTTTTCGCGGTGTGTCACTTGAACTACTGGATGAGAATTGCAGGAGGACACCATGTCTCGAGTCAAATTTTAGAAATAAATCAGTTAGAAGTAGTTTTGAGCTTAACTTGCCGCATATTTTCTCCTGTCTAAATTCCAAAGTCGATAAAAAATACTCTCGAGTATGATCAAGTAGGCGCTTAGCTTATTCTGAGACTTTGACTCACGACGTCGACTCAGTCACTTCGATATCAAACTATAACTAGGGGCTTATCGGGCTGCTTCGCAGCCCCTTCTTTTTCATGTACACCTTTCCCTTTCACATGTCTTTTTTTAAGCCATTTTGGCAGCAATTATTAAAATGACCATTTGACATTTCACCCTGAAAATGGCGAGCATCACAATGATGACAAATTATATTCATTGAACCGACTGAAAATTGGGTAACAAAATTTTCATCAAAGTTCTGATCATCAATTTTATACTTCCGAAATGAAGAAATGAAACTTTGATTTTCTTTACTAATGATAGAGTTAAGTTCTTGCTTCACCAAACGAAGATGCGAAGAATTCTGGAAAACGCGACCACGTTTTGTAGGACGACCGCTTCGGTTATTGAAAATTTCACTCATAACAACTGTTAAATTTAAAATGAAAATTAGACATTTAAAAATTATTATTCTTTTAAAAAAATCATAACTGACGAAGTTCATTTACTAATTTTAAAAAAAATAAATCAGAAGAAAAAGGATGAAAAGAAAATGGAAATTAGTAATAAACATATTAATACACATTGAAAAGAAAATAACTAATAGCGTGAAACAATAAAAATATTAATACACATTGAAAAGGAAATAACTAACAACGTGAAACGTTCTGATTGGAAATGAGAAAGAAAAATTGGAGGTTATTGACTTATTGATGAGGAAAAATTGTTGTTGTTGTTGTTGTTGTTGTTGTAGGTTGATTGGCCTAATTCCGCTTTGCAGATAAACAGCCACTTACAAAAGTTATGGAGCCAATCAAGATTTGGGGGTAAAATTGGAAAAGAAAAAACGCGGGAAAAGAAAAATGTAAGTTGCAGCTGATATAAAGACAGCAAATAGTAAAGTAAGATGCGTAGCAACAAAACTTTTCCGAAAAATAAAAAACAAAAAACCCCTACTTCCCCTCATCCAATTTATGAGTTTTTAGGGATTTAAAAATCGGGGACTAATTTTCCCGAAGCATTGAGTACAACACCTTTCAAATGAACCAACGCCCCTCGCAATTAGTACAGAGGTTAATTCACAATTTCATTCTATTTTTCAATTTATATATTAAGAAGATAATATCTTCCGCCATCCAATATATCTTTGTACAGGATGAAGTAAAAATTACCGCAAATCCTCAAAAAAAAAAAAAAAAAAAAAAATTAAATAATCGCTGTTTTTTCATATATTTAATCATGCAGAGAGACTATTACGCAAAGATCAATGCACAAGTTTTTCTTCGCAAATACAGGTGTTGTATTCACATGAATATCTCTGTGTCAGTGTCATACATTGTTTCAAGATTTTGAAAATAAAAATCGTGAAAATTTCTGTACAGCTACAGAATCAGTTGATTTTTCACTACAATTTTGCAGAGCATGAAACATATTGTTTGCCAATTCAAGTAAAGGCATTTTTTATTGTTCGTCGTCTGTACGCTTCATATTGCGCTTGTAGGATCTGGGTTTATTGAAATAATTTATTGCGGAAAAGTTGCATGAAAATCATGATTCGCCACGAATAAACGCACATAGGTATCAAGGACAGTACACAAATTTTTTGAATCTGCAAGCTATATTATCCAAAATTTTCCGATCTCTCCTTTGTTTTCGTGCTAAAATCATTCATCCTTTTCCCACTATTTTCTTTCAATGAACTGACGTCTTAGCACCAAAAACATGATACTGAAAAATCAAGAAATTCTGATTGACAGGGTCAATTTCAAACCATGATTCTATGCAGAGAGCACGTTTTGTGACGTCATGCAATTAAAAAAAAAAATGTAAAATTAATCGTTATAAAAATGTTCACCAAACGCACTAAACGCAAATACGCAGGAAACACAATAAACGCAAATACACAGGAAACGCAATAAACGCAAATAAACAGGAAACGCAAGTACGCAGGAAACGCAATAAACGCAAATACGCAGGAAACGCAATAAACGCAAATACGCAGGAAACGCAATAAACGCAAATACGCAGAAAACGCAATAAACGCAAATACGCAGGAAACGCAACGAACGCAAATACGCAGGAAACGCAATAAACGCAAATACGCAGAAAACGCAAATGTGCATAAAACGCATCGCAATGAACGAATATGCGCCGGAAACATAATAAACGAAAATGCGCATTAGACGCAATGAACGCAAACGCTCATGAAACGCGATAAGCGTAAGCGTAAATACCCATAGTACGGAAAAACAACAAAAACATTATCGACGCGATGTTTTTGCGTTCATTGCGTTTTTGCGTATTGCAGAACAGCTCACACGGCTTTATGTTTTCATCGTGGAAAAACGGTTATGGTATCTCATTTCGTGAAACTAAAAAATTATGTACTGCGTCCCCGCAATGTTAGAGTGAATTCAGTATTTGTTACCTATGAGAAAGAGTGAAAAGTAAATTATTTATTATTGAAGAATTGAAAACTTTTGAATATCTTATAATTTAGAAAAGTTTCAAGTTTTGTTGGTTGAAATCGTAAGGGAAGAAATACGCTACTGATGTATTCCTTTCTGAGAAAATTTGATCTATATCAATTTCACACACATGCAGCGCATATAAGAGCTGCGTCGGGTGTCAAAGCCACCGAAACGAGTCTCGCATCTCGCGCCCAAAACCTGTGAATCTCTTGCGCCCAACTGTAGGGTAATCACTCAAATTTCTCTCACAAGTTCGTAATTCTGAGAGAGGGTATAAAATATCAATGTCCTACCCTTTAAAAAAACGAATTCAACAATGTTTCCAAAAAAAATGAAAACGTTTGATATGCATCAATTTTTATTTGAAAACTCTCCCTGGAGATTTGCAAAAAAGGATAAAAAACAACAACAATTTACTCTGAAAATTGAGTCTACTTTATTTTCAAAACCTGTCAATAAAGGTAGCCTCGGCTGCGGAGTCTGCATTTAAAGAAGGAATAACATGAAGAGCGATCGGGAGTATATTAGGCAGCTCTGTTGAAAATGGGGAGGAAAGTGGGGAGGAGGGAATCGGAGGTGGTTGGAGTTTTGGGCATGAGCCTCATGGTGAGGTCGCCAAGCTCCATCTTGAGGCTCTTGATCTCAGCACGGAGGTCGGAGATGGCCAGGATCAGGAGCTCAAGCTTCTCTGTGTTCTGCCGGCCGGGCAGGTAAGAGTACAGAAAGTCCGTCGCGCTACGCAGCATCCCAGCGTTTGCTTCAAAATTGGGCGGCTTCGGCATCGAACTGTTGTTGGGGTTCGACATTACAGGCGCCCCCGCCATGGGGGGCGTCCCTGCGTTAGGGGGCGTCCCCAAGTTTCCCGTCGATGGCGTTCCGGCGTCCGGCTCCGCCAGCGCCGAGTGCACCTGAAACATCCAACAAATGGCTCAGTTCGTGCAGTGCAGGGTGACAAAATTTCTTGAGAGATAAAATCGTGAAATTGTAGGTGAACAATTCAAGAAATTTCAAAAAATATGAAAGATATACCTTATATTGTGGATTATCATGTCACGCTAAATAACAGGTCATTTGCGTTCTTCACGAATATATGTATTTTGATAGGTTACGCTCGTAACTGAACAAATAATAATGAGATATCCGTCCAAACGCCAAGTGTTGGCATCCAATTTGACTAAGATATTTTTCATTGAAAAACAAGACTGAGATATTTCCCATTGAAAAACAAGACTGAGATATTTCCCACTGAAAAACAAGGCGAATGACGTCATCTGCCACAATTGTGCTTACCATGGTTTCTTCCACCTTGGTCTCAACCTTGTTTTATGGCAAGCAACTGGTGCAAATGAATGTGACACTAATTGATGAATCTTACATGGAGTGTAGAAACCTGGTGTTCGGACGGATCTTAATATTTATTGCTAATTTATGAGTTTAAGTCACCACGGCACAATTTTGTGACCAGCGCACCTCACCCATTATCAAAACGCTGCAAAATGGTTCAGAAGCGTTGCTTTCTTAGTTTTTGTCACTTACGTTTCCCATAATTGAAACAGTAATTAAAATCCATGATTAGATTATTATATCAAGGATAATTTGGTTTTTTATCGATGCGGATGCATAACCCATCCCCGAAATGAGTGTTTCATATTTTTCAAAAGTTTCACAGCCTCGTGAAATTTTATGACATATTTAATGGAAATTTCCAATTCCAATCTATCATGAGTTTCTGTTTTTTCATACTATCCCGAGTTTGTTACATATAGATTCGATGGCCCAAATGAGAAACCTCGTATTCCCATTCGTGACGTTGCAGAATACCCGTCACACATTATTTTTTCTTTGTAAAACTAGTCAACGCAGGTCAAAAATAAAGTGGAGAATTTTCACGTAAACTCAAGTCGAGCCTGATAAAACCACGCGGCATGTAATACCGCAAAGAATAATATCAATTAACGCGTTGTTGAGTGGTGATATGTCTCTTGATATTGCATGAAGAAACTTAGCGATTGAACTCGTTTGATCACTCTCTTAATTCGAACAGTTGGCCCATTCGGCATTCTCTTGTGTGTTGCATTTCTTTTTTTTTAAATTGAACGAAACCGAGAGAAATTTTTGAAAATAAAAACAAGTGGGAGAAAGAGAATTATGATGAAAAAGTGTCTGAGTTTTAGATAGACGCAATACTCACCAAAAAAACGAGGAGGACCCCTAAAGAAAATTGAGCCATGTCATAAATTTATCGTTCCAAGCCGTCGCGAGAGTCTCTCCCGAATATTTGACTTCGACTGAGTCCGTCGCATGAGCTGTGATCTTCTAAATCTGCATGAGCAAATACAGATGTGATCGGATGGTTTTTAAAGTGACGTTTGCTTTTTCATTGGCGTCAGGAGTCATACTCGAAATTGTGCATGCGTAAATAAAACGCAAAATATTGTTTTGCAGATTCTTTGATGTGTGGAGGGCGAAGGGGGGGGGAGGAATGGGGAGAGGGGAAACCTCTATTCTCAGCGGTCAACCGCTATATCCCGACTGACCAAAGTATTATATGCTCAAAATAATTGCGACTATTTTTAAAATATTTTCAAAAACATCACACCCTCCTTCAATATGTTTAATGAGTAATTTCTAATATATTTTCGACAGTTTCATTCTGAAAATATTTTAAAATAAGTGAAGGACTGATCAAAAAATAGGTAACACTGCAGGGGGGTGCCTGAGGTCTAAGATTGTAGTTCGGGTGCATTACAGAGGAGAGTGCGGCGTTCAGGGCTGCGTTATGCAACGCTAGAATGGGCGCTTGCAGGGCCGGAATAAGGGGATGGACACATGGGCCGTGGCCCATGGTGGCAAATTTTGCAATTTTTTTAAATGTATAGGTATAAAAAAATCGGATTCAGAAAAAAAATTATCAATGAGAAAAGGGGACGAAATCTCTCTTTCCTGAGAGTATAGTAATTACTAATTCTGTCGTTTTTCGGTGATACAAGAAATAGCATCTCTAATTAATAGAGTGAAGAGAGGAACTAAACACGCAATTTAGTCTGGAACTCAACGCAGAGAGGAATGATGACGAGGACTTGAGATGAAAAAGACAAGTCCTCGGCGCGCCGATCGGTATGTAACACATATTAGCGCCTACAAGACTGCATGAATACTTCACCTATTGCGCCGAACACAGTGCTGTCAGGAGCGGTTGGCGTGAAACGTATAGCGCCTACAAGACTGCAGGAATACTTCGCGCATTGCGCCAATCACAGTGCGATCAGCGCGGCACAGTGGCGGACGTTAAAATTATTAAACCACATTTATGTTTCTTCTTTCATAATTTGTTGGTTCATTTCTTACAAATAAAGGACCTTGTCCACCTAGATAGGTTTACGGAACTTAACTTTCGCGCAAAGTTCCGTGAAATTTTGCTAGTGGTGTTGATAAGGCTTCCGCAAAAAAATGTATCCAACACGAGAAAGTAAACGCGTCTTATGTACCCCTCCCCCTCCGGCACGTTCACCTGATGGTTTTTGAACTTGAAAAATCAACGCAAGCTTTCAACTCTTTATCGGAAAACGCAAAGTTGCGGGAGAGGAGCCGAACCAAACTTTACTTACTATTTTAGGGGGTGCAGACCTGCGTTAAAGTTGCGGTAAGAAGGAGGGGAGTACTGAAATTTCGATTTTCAGCTTTATGTATCTCCTGAACGCTTCCTAATACCGTTAAATTTTGTTCGTTTGCCTGCATTTCCGCAATTGGGAAAAGGATCATAGAATTTTCCATCAGATATTTTTAGAGCAACATTTTGAAAAGAGTGGCAATTTATTCGAACATGTTTTTAAAATCCTTACGCATAACTAGGTCATTCAGGAAATTAGGGTAAAAATGTCAATCTCTACTGAAAAAGGAGAAAAATGAAAAATGAAAATTTTATAATTTCAGAGACCAGACTCTGAAATATTGGGGTTTGCGATAGGACTCACATGATTTTCGGTTCTTAAGATGCGCATGCAGTCGAGTACAACTAATATTTTTCTATTTCTCTATTTTCTTTACATTTTCAGAGGACATCAAATCGTTCAAGTCTATAAATAGCATCGAGGTTGCAGTTGAGAGACTGATCCAGAGATTAATCTGCGGTGTGGGAATGCTAGATCATAGATTTTCATCGAAATTTTTAGTCAATCTAGAACCAAAAAGATTTTTTGGCAAGGTAAGTGAAGTTCAGATCTGCATTTCAGAATTATTAATCGTCTAGTTTCTGAAAAGTTGACAAGCGGTAAATCTCCGGTCTGAATTAGAGCACTTGAAACTTGAAAGTATTTGAAAACAGGAGGTACATACTAGCGGGTCATTACGCACAAAAAAACACGTACATGTTTCAAATCATCCTGCAGTCTGAGCGAGTAGAAATGCGAGGAAATCTGAATTCCCCCTTAGTTAAGTGGCTATAAATTTAAGGTACTTGGGAGGCAACAAAAATGTATTTCCGTTTTTCCGATCTCCCAGAGGAATGCTCAGTGGAGAATTTTGCAAGATTGCAACTCTTTTTCGCCTCCACTTAACATTCACTATACTTGTATGTATATTTAGAGGCGGCAACCTGCGTGACATGCATGCATGCACGTAGTTTCTTTTGATGTAATTCACTTGGTCAAAGATCGGTTTAGCATGAAAATCAATGACCTGAGTGCGAAACCACGTATCTTTAAAGCGATGCTCCAAAATGTCCGCTCCTATTGTAGCCATCTCCATACCTCAAAAAAGAATACTTTGGTAACAGAGAAAAATATCAAGGAAATTTCCGAGAAATTACATTGACCAGTTTTCCAAGGAAAATTTAAAGTATGATAGGGAGTCTGCAACGTTACAAACGGAGATACATGGCTACGCACTTTGGCCATCGATACGCCCAATTGTTTGATTATTATTTTCTTTTGTGTTATTTTTTTTTGTGCAGCAAACCTCACTGTCTTTCTCTTATCTAGTGCGCCTGGACTGTCTCTCTTTTCCTGCACTGTACCCCGATGCAGAGACGACCGGTTGCACCGTTTTCGAGGGGGACGGCGTCCCCCAAGGATTTGCTCGGATCAGGGTGCACGGAGAAAATATCGAACGATGGGCTGAATTCATAAACAATAATGGATTTCTCAGAAGGTTCGCGCAATTATTCCTTTAATCTTCTTTTGCAAAGCTGAGGCTCGGACCTGCAGATGTTTTGAACATTGGATGAACTTTTAAAAAAATAGGTCAACGAACCAAATCTAATTTTTATTAATTCAATTTTCAGCTGAAACCAGTTCGATGAAACGGTCAAGTTTGACAAACCACAATGGCTCAGATGGAACTGAATTACCTCTAAATAACAGACTTTTTTTTGGCAAAATAAGTGGTTGATATTCCCCAGTTGCGTTTGTTTTAACGCCATTGGTTCAAGGGAAATCGGTGGATGGTTCTGTTAATATCAACACTGAACCGCAATGAAAAGAAAAATGCGTACAGCTTTGCAGCCAGCACGCACTAAAAACATAGTCGGATCGATACCTACTAGCGTGAGTTCTGGTTGATAGACGACAATAAATTCGAAAAAAGAAAAAAAAAACACGAAAAATAACTCTCGGACCCAGATCCACAACAGCAGGTATGTGTCAAAGAGGTTCCATGACCAGATAAAACCAATTCCTTTAAGTCGCGTATACTTAGACCTTGTAATGTCAAAAGAACGCTGGAGGTATAGGAACTAAGGGTGAGGCCAGTTTCAGCATTCAATGACACTTCTCTCTCAGTAGGAGAAATAATTGTTTTACCATTGTGGTCTTAACTCTTCATGTTTTAAGGGATAAAGTGCAAGAGAGATTCGTGGAGCTCCTGGCCCAAGCAACCGCAAGAAGCACCATTCCCGGTCCACCCGATCAAATCGACGAGGCAAACTTTTGCGGGAGTCCTGGAAAGATTGTCGACGCCGGAATATTGCACTCATTATTGCAGATCCCAGTTGAACGACAGATGTATTATGCCCCAGGTATGCACTGTAAAAAATCTCAAAACTTTTTTCTTTTTTGACTAAGTTATTTTCATCTGGAATAATCGAGAGGTAAGATGCATTTTTTCATGCCTCCCTACAAAAATTTTCATTTTCTAAGACGTGATTATTTACATATTTGGACGTATTTCTGCTGGATGGAACAAAGGAGAGGTGTGCTCTAGAGGCTGCACATGGAACAATGTAAAAGTGGGCGTGAGTCTCTTGGTGGAAATGGAAAAGGGGGATTTTACATTCTACCACACGGAACTGTAGCGCCAACTGTATACGGCAGTCATGAGCCGTGGGCAATGAGCTTGTTAACCTGTTTCTAATTCTTGCATTTTCAGAAACTACATTGTCTCCTGATCACGCAGTAATTTTTTCAGATTTTTCCGAGCCGTTTTTCCCTCCGAAAATGACTTTTGAAGTTCGAAATTTTAAAATGCCGCGTTTGCCCGCGCTTTAGCGGCAATTCAATATGGCGCCGGAATTACCCCCTGGCTTCTTGCCACACATTCGACCGGGCGCCGTCAGCGGGACCTCTACGCGTTCGAACATCGAGGCTAAATCAAAACAACCAACTGGCTGTTATCAATTTCACCTTTTGACAAAGATTTCTCTAGTTTTTGGCATATTTTCTGAACTGTTATTCGTTCAACTAAATATCTAACCCTGCTTTACAAATATCTCGACCTGCAATCTCCTTTGAACGTTGGAAAATCCGAAAATATTGACCAAATTTGTGCTAGTTTACTCAGTCATTTCAGTACACTGAGATACTGAGTTTCCATGGTAGTGAAGTGAATTTGGGAATAATTCTTCTTGAAAATGTTGAGTGCATATGTTTTTGCAGTAGTTTTTGGTTAAACTTCAGAAACAACAACAGATTGGCCGGTTAAATCCTGACACTGTTACTGACCATGCCGAAACTTCATGATGCGAAGCCTTGTTCTTTGTTTCGGGAAGTAAATATTTTGGAGAAAACTTCCTACTTCTCATTTACAGCAATCTAAATAGAATCAGTAATCGAATGTCCTTCCCTCAATGGCTCTCTTTAAAGAAATATCCACAATATATTACATGTATCACTTGTTTACTCTTAGAAAGCCACCCAAGACTAAATAGCCTTCGACAATTTTCTATTCTGGGACCGTAAACTTATTAAACTGTTCAGTGTTCCATAATTATCAACAGGTATATTGTGCATTGCTAGTGTGTGCCATTCTTTGATAGTTTGTCTCAATTCGAGGTATAACATCAGTGATTTAATCTCCATTTCTCATCCACTCATATTTTATGTAATCGATCACATCCTCCACAAGACTTCGATTCACTTTGAACCTGATTTTTTTTTGGTAAATATTGGCTCACTATGCTGAGCGTTTTACCAGAAAGTCAGCTTTAAGTTACATTCTTCGACATGGAACTACACATAAATTTTGTGAAGATGCATGCCCTGACTCTGAATAAATGGATGTTATTAAAAATCCTGAAGATGAAAGGTGAGTAGCTAACTACTTTGTAAGTTTCCTTCTGAATTTCGATTACCTATATGGTTTCTAATGGCGGATAATAAGAGTCGTCCAGAAAGTAAGTTTACCTGTTTAATATTTCCTAAATGAAGGTAGGTAGAGAAAATCTGTAATAAGTTTTGAAAAGTCACTACCGCCCCTGGTTCTCTATTACGCCGTAGATTTTTAAATTTGGCTTGATAGAACTCTAAAAACGTGGGATTCTCTGAACCCACCTCCTCTCCGCATGGGTTCAAAATTTTACGGAGCTTAATTCGCAAGTGAGCCTTCCTGTCTTTCGCTTATGGCAAGAAAGTGGCTTAAAGGTGATTGAAATATGTGTGAAACATAAGCAAGGAGTATTCCTTGTTTCCAACAAGGAATTAGCCGTGTTTACTTCAAAATACAGGAAAATGTCCTTAAAAAAATGTGTTAAATGTCTTACATGTGTTTCAACCACCCCTAAGCCACTTTTTTGCCATGAGCGATAGACACAGTGGCTCATTTGCGAATGAGGCTCTGTAAAATTTTGGACCTGTGCGGAGAGGAGGTGGATTTAGAAAAACCCACTTTTCTAGAGTTCTATCAAGCCAAATTTAAAAATCTATGGTGCGTTAGAGAGCCCTGAATGGTGGCTTTTTTAAAGTTTATTATAGATTTTCTCGAAGTACCTATCTCAGTTTAGGATATATTGAACAGGTAAACTCATCTCTGGACGATCCTCGTAGTTGTTCTTCCCTCTTTCGTGCAAATTATTTATTGAAATGAAATACACAAGGCTCTATATCATAGAAATATCACTATGAAAAAGCAACTGAGTTTAAAAACTGAGACAAAAAAAGATATCGATGACAGTAAAATGAGGTGAGAAAATCTACCAACTGTAGGCATCCACTTCATATTATTGCAATCACATGAATTAGTTGGCTGGAGTCTAGCGCATCCATCTGCATAATTGATTTTAAGGGTTTCCGTGGGTATACTGAAGGAAAATCTAGACAAATTTTCCTTGACTTATATTTTGATCAGTACCTAGACATTTCTGCTGTGAAATGGAGACCTCAGGTTTCCATGTCAATCCAGTGATAAGAGAGTACCTTGGTGTGCCTTCGAATTAACACTTGCTACATTTTTATGATTTTCAATTACTGGATATTACATTCATTGCACACCACAAACATTTTTTATGAGAAAACCACATATGTTCCAAAGAATTCAAAACAAGTCATGTGCATGTTGGAGCAAATTTACTTCCGTTCTAGTTTGAACATTATTGGTACGTACCTACCTTTCAATTTCAGGATTTAACGGCTTTTGCCGAAGGGTCTGTTGGTGCCGGCACACACAGTTCCAGGGTAGAGTGGAGATCCATGTCGAAGGAAATTCCTTTGAACTGATTTTTTGGTAAATAAATGCTCAGATAACTGAAGCATAATTTACTGCACTATCAGACTTCAAAGGGAGTTGGTCATGAGGTAGTATTCACAACAGCATAAGAAAGAATATGTGGATATACAAGTAGAAGTAATGAGCAAATATACAGATTACTGACTTTAACACTCAAGAAAGGAGGAAAAATCGTAGAGTAAGTGCTTGGTATCAGATGTTCTAGCAGCATAATGCCCGTCCAATGTGAAGATTGTTTGCATACCCAATGGTTGCAAGTGCAAGAATTTATGTATAACCGCAGAAAATGTATCATTAGAAGAACACTCATAAGTATATTTTGACTAAAATGAACACTGTAAAAGTCGTGTGCAATGTTAATCCCAAATTCCCAACACCGAAAACACGGCGATTTCAACTGAAAAACAAGCCTTTAGATACTTAAGTGATAGGGACACACACATATAACTAACACAGTTTTGGAAGCTATTTCCGGATTTTCCAACGTTTCAAGGAGATTGCAGGTCGAGATATTTGTAAAGCAGGGTTAGATATTTTAGTTCAACGAATAACAGTTCAGAAAATATGCCAAAAACTAGAGAAATCTTTGTCAAAAGGTGAAATTGATAACAGCCAGTTGGTTGTTTTGATTTAGCCTCGATGTTCGAACGCGTAGAGGTCCCGCTGACGGCGCCCGGTCGAATGTGTGGCAAGAAGCCAGGGGGTAATTCCGGCGCCATATTGAATTGCCGCTAAAGCGCGGGCAAACGCGGCATTTTAAAATTTCGAACTTCAAAAGTCGTTTTCGGAGGGAAAAACGGCTCGGAAAAATCTGAAAAAATTACTGCGTGATCAGGAGACAATGTAGTTTCTGAAAATGCAAGAATTAGAAACAGGTTAACAAGCTCATTGGGCATGTTACAAGAGCGCCGTGAACAGGGGCCGAATTTTTCCGGCTTTTTCACACGGAGTGCAACATCCATCGATGAGTTCAAACCGCACCACCGGCCAATCAGAAGCTCTAAGCCGGACTTAAGTGCAGTCGAGACCCGTCCTAAGTATATTCGGGGCCGGATTTATCTACTTGCCGCCCATGGGCCGCCTATATTGTGCCGCCCCCTTCTCAGTTGTTTTGAGACATCAAAAAAAAAACCATCAAGTGAAAGTGCCGGAGGGAAAGGGGTGCACAAGACGCGTTTACTCGTGTTGGACACATTTTTTGCAAAAGCCCTATTAACACTACTAGCAAAAGTTCACGGAACTTTGCGCAAAAATTAAGTTCCGTAAACCTATCTATGTGTAGACAATGCCTTGCATTTATAAGAAATGAACGAAAACATTGTGAAAGAACAAACATTAATGGGTGTTGATAATTTCAACTTCCGCTTCCGCGCCGCGCTGACTGCACTGTGTTTGGCGCAATGCGTGAAGTATTCATGCAGTCTCGTAGGCGCTATGCGTTTCACGCCGACGGCTGCTGACCGCACTGTGTTCGACGCAATGCGTGAAGTATTCACTCAGTTTTGTAGGCGCTGCTAGGTATGTGTTACATGCCGACCGCCGCGCTGAGGGCTTCTTTTTATCTCAAGTCCTCGTCATCATTGCTCTCTGCGCCGCGCCGCGCTGTCTCTTGTATCACTGAAAGACGACAAAATAGAAATTACTACACTCTCAGGAAATAAGAGATTTTGTTGCCTTATCTCGTAGTAGTTTTTTTTCTGAGTCCGATTTTTTTATACCTACATTTAAAAAAATTGCAAAATTTGCCGCTATGGGCCGCGGTCCATGTGGCCACCCCCTAAATCCGGCCCTTAGTATATTTAAGTACGGTGGAAAGACCGACAAAATTCGGCCCCAGGGCGCATGAGTTAAAGATCTCCGACCGAGTACGTCGTTGCCGCTGACGTCACTGGCGCTTTATAATTCCCATTCATTTTTACGTCCTTCTACTAACCAGCAGCACATCCCTTCTTTTCCACCTGTCTTTTGTTCCGTTCAGCATAAATACGTCCTTTTAAGGTATCTATCCAAAGCGAGTATCTATCAGTATGGGCGAAAGAAACGCTTGTTACGCCGTATTACTCCTGGTTTGGACTGTTGTCCTAATCATGGAGAGGGAAAACTTTGTGGGGAGTCACGACCCCTTGACCTCCCAGAGGGGCAGGAAGGGCACCGAACCCCCCCCCCCCATATCAACATTTCCAAACGAAAGACCCCTACTTCAAAGGCGTATCGAACGTTTCTCTTGCCCATCCAGCGGGCTGATTATTGAAACTTATAGACGAAGCTATAGACAAAGACGACAAAAGGGATTTGGAGGGATCCTATTGATGGAAGCAGCTCACGGAAAAAAAAATTGCTGATTCAACAATTCAATTGCCAAAAACAGTGAGTGCAATGTTTCAACGCAGATTTTACAACAAAAAAATGCTACTTTAACCACATTTTAAACTAATTTAACCACGGGGGTGGTTAACGTAGCATTTTTTGTTGTAAAATCTGCGTTAAAACATTGAATTCACTGGTTTTAGCAATTGAAATGCTGAATCAACAATTCTTTTTTTTTCCGTGAGGTGGTGGCAATGGACATAGGAGGTAGGTGATGGACTAACTAACGGCAACCCGCTAAAGACCCGATAGTTAGTCCATCATTGTCCTCCTTAGTCTGTAAGAACCAACCATGTCAACCAATAGGATCGCTTTATACCCTCTATGTCTTCTTTGTGTATGTGTGTGTATATATATATATATATATATGAGAAATTTACCTTATTTATTCAGNGCTTTTACAGCGCTCTTTGGCGCTTTACGACGCCTAATCGCCACAAAGCTCGGTCTTCCCACAAGTCATCAGGGAGTTGACAATCTCTCTTCTCATTTAACACCCCCTGCCGCCAACCTCTCACTGGGCGTCCCCTACGTCTCCTCCCAGGAGGAACCCAATCAAGCATCTTTTTTGGCAGCCTCTCTTCCGTCATCCTATTGACATGACCATAATAAACAAGTTGTTTGGTCATGACGTCGAACACGATGTCATTTTCGACTTTCATTATCTGACGCACTCTATCATTACGGACCCGATCTCTCCTAGAAATTCCTGCTGACCTTCTCCAGAAATCCATCTCCGTTAGCTTTTAGCTTTGTCTATCAATTTCAATAATCAGTCCGGAGGTATGAGGACGGTGACAAACTGTTGATGACTTTTGTTGCAGCGAAGAGCAACGGATGCAGGTTCCCGGACCCGCGGGACTTTCGGATCGCCATCGTGGAGGGGAGCCAGTGTGTGCGGCTCCGGGTGGGCTTCCTCTCGCCGGGGCTCATGGCCAGCGAGGACGCCGAGGTCACCCTCGTCTTGGGCGTCGGCTTCAGCGGCTGGCCCGCGTCCTCCGATTTCACCAATCGGGCCTCCGTCGTCCACATCGACGCCCTCCTCTTCCACCACGCCGCCGCAACGGTATCCCAACAACTTTCCGCCATATCTACCATCACGTGTCCCTCCGGTGAGAGGGAAGGAGGAGCTAGAGTACCTGTATAGGGAGAGTATCGACAGATCGGTTCATGGAGGGCTTAGGGCCCAAAAGTGCAACCACCCTTCTAATCAACTTCTAACGCACAAAATTTCACTGCCAGTCTGCAATTCCAATTCTAACCAAGATGGCCAAGAATGTACAGAAATGAGCGTTCTTCCGCGCGAAATTGAGTAAATTTATGCAAAAACTGAGTCAAACACGTGTTAAATAAAGGACGGTTCGTAACAATAGTATCAGTAAATCGCTCTGGAAAATTGAAATTCATAGGTTGGCTGCCCTTTTGGGCCCTAACTTTATTCGCGGAGGCATCGGTGAAGGCCTGATGGACTTTCGGAGTTTCGGATCTGTCGCTTCTCTCCCTGTACAGGTACTCTAGGAGGAGCCAGTGGGCAGTGTTCGAAACTCACAGGCGCCAACGCACCAAATGCGGCTAAGAAATCGGTCATGACGCTTAAAAAATGTAGGCTCTGCGCCAACGTGGCCCCTAAAAAATGAAGGTTCTGCGCCAACGTGGCTCCTAAAAAGTATCCCCCCCCCCAAAAAAAAAAAAAAAATCTAATTTTTCTGTTTTGTGATTTTTTGAAAGTTACAAGTTACAGCTACTAGTTCTGTGTAACTCAAACATCTTTCGTCTGACTTTTCACAAAATGCGCCGTGATATATAGGCAAAAAGTCAATTCGGCGCCTAAAAAATCTGCAATGGCCCCTAAATATTAAGCTTGGTGGGCCACATGGCTCCTAAAATTCTAAGGTGAGTTTCGAACACTGCTAATGGGTCAGTTGCCGCTCATAAAATCGTGTTTTGATGGTTTAAGCCTAAAAACATTCCTAGTAAAAGTGAATCAGCTTGACGTTAAGCTATGTTTCATAAACTACCCTGAGTCTTACTGATTCAGGCTAGCATCAGTCTGACATCAGCCTGACTCAGTTTGACTCAGGGTAGTTTATGGAACATAGCCTGACGCCAGGCTGACTCACTTTTACTATGGATGGTTAAAACTAATGAAATTCGTTCTAACGAAGGCGCAACTCGCCTATTGCGGATGCAAGAGGGGCGATGGGGCATCTCCCTTTCCCTGTCTAAAGAGCACGGTCGAGGAGCGGAGAGTAAAGTGAAGAAAGAAATAATTTCTAGACTAAATTCGATGGGTTTTCTCTATCCTTCGTATTGGAAATGACTGGATATATTTGGGAAGACCTGAACCTTTGGGCTTCTCTTTTGACATGAAAATGTTTCCAAAAAATATGATATTGAACATAAAGGGAGATTTGCACCTTTAGACTTCCCTCTTGAAAAAATTACGACCTGAGAACCCCCACTCTTTGGCCCGGTTTTAAAAAGATTCCTGGTTATGCCTCTAACTGTGGTTGCATACCTGTAAACATAGGCGGTTCTACGGGGGTGCCAGTGGGTGCCGGGCACCCCCAGGCAAAAATTAAGTGCGGTTACCGGAACCGTGAAAGAGGGCTTCTTCTTCCTTCACCTCTATTTATTGCTTTTTTAACCAGTATAGAATTTAATATAAAAAGGACCAAATTATACTGCTTTTAAAGATTCTGTATTCGCTTACACTGAGTAAAAATCCCAGCAATTAATTGAAAATTTTTCAAACAGAATTAATATTGATTGCCGTGTTTTACAAAGATTCTACTGTTTTTTTATGGTAAGAATGTAGTTTTGATGGAAAGTTTTGCTAAAAATTTTCTACGCTGACTTTATAGGTATTTAAGTAGAAAGGAAGGAGAGAAAAAGAGAAAGGATGGGAGGAAAGGGATAAAACTTGAGGGCCGAAACTTAGTCCTCCCCTGAGCGACCTTCCCCTTCGGGACCAGTCTCCGACATTTTTCACCTCTGGGCACCCCCAAACATGAGAGTCTAGAACCGCCTATGCCTGTAAAAACTATCGTATCGAAAGAAAAAAAAAGAATAGTATAATATAGATAATCTAGAAGATCAGCTTTCTCTATCCATTTCAATAATTAGCCTGCAGAAATGCTTTATTTTCGCTTTGTCTCGCTTTATTTATCAGTTTCAATGATGAGCCGTAGGACTTTTGAAATGCTCTGTTTGTTAAGTCTTCTTTCTGGCGGTGGTTTCAGGGTTTCTACCTGGTACCGGCCGGGCCGCACCCGACGGTCCGCTGCGAGGACAAGTCGTCGGTGTGGGAGTTCCGGTTCCCGGCGGCGGAGACGACCCTGGTGAGCCACTACTCGGGCGGCTCGGTCGTCGCCAAAGTCCTCTCGGTCCTCTTCTCGGTCCTCGTCGACATCCGCAACAAGCAGAACGGGGGCAACGTCATGAGCAAGTACATTCTCAAGACCCTCTTCCTCTTCCACCTGGAGACCAACGGGGCCCACTACCAGACCCCGGAGAGACACGCCGGCAGACGCCACGCCCGGCACCTGGACCGCAACGAGCTCCTCGCCGACCTCCGCCACTGGACCTACGACCAGATCTCCCGCCGGGTCCTCCTCATCCTCGACGAAATGGTTGCTGCTCTCAGAACTCAAAGGTTTGTCCGAAAGTCCCGGGATAGGGCCGATATGGACATCTGCGGGTCGATTATTGAAATTGATAGACAAAGCAATAGACAAAGAAGACAAAAGGAATATAGAGCGATCCTATCGGTTGACATGGTTGGCTCTTATAGACTAAGGAAGAAAATGATGGACTAACTGTCGGGCCTTTAGTGGGTTGCCGTTACTTAGTCTATTACCTACCTCCCATGTCCATTGCCACCACCAGCTTCCACCTATAGGATCCCTCCAAATCCCTTTTGTCGTCTTTGTCTATAGCTTTGTCTATCAGTTTCAATAATCGGCCTGCTGCAGGCCGATCATTGAGATTGATGGACAAAGCTGTGCACAAAGAAAATAAAGGAAAAACAGAGGATATCCTCCTTGTTGAAATAGGCAGTTGCTACAGACTGACGGGGGAAATGGTTAACAGGGCCTCTCGTGGGTTGCCGTTAAATAGTTTATTACTTACCTCCTTTAGTCCTTTGTCCATCATTGCAACCGCCCCTTTCCGCCAATAGGAATCCTCCATTTTCCTGTCGTTTTATTTGTTCATAGCTTTGTCTATAAATTTCAATAATCAGCCCACGGACCAGCCAATCTTCCCACAAGGAAAACCCAGGGAAAATCTCGCTGCCGACCTTCATATGGACGTATTTCTGTCAAACGGAACTATGTGCATTATGAAGTGAGCCATGTAATGCATATATTCTTATGGGTCTCCGGGCTCATGTCTTAATGCACATAGTTCCGTTTGACAGAAATGCGTCCATATTCGAACAAACCGAGATGGTCAAACGTGTTTCTAAATAAACGCGTCCTTCCGTAGAACTAATGGAAGTGCAACAAAGTCTAATGCATGCTTTGCGAAAGATTGCAAGGACTTTCTACCTTGTTTTCATTTTTGTTTTAAGTCGAGTAACCACTACGAACATGCGTGTCACTAATTGAACTACTTTTTGCAATAAGGCACTACAATATTTAGCTCATTCATAAAAGCACTTTACTGCACAGAGGAACAGAGACATTGTTTCAAAGCCGGAAATGGTAGTTCCCTATTGTAAATGAAGTCCGATTGATGAGCAGTATGTGCCATCGCGGTTGAAGACGTCATGCATCGTGTTGTTCGCAGAGCGATAGGTATATTCGTTAAATCCGTACGTAGAGACTTGACTTTTGAACAGCTCTGATTAGTTTTCGCGTATCTACGATAAGTTTAACTCGTATTTTCGATGCTTCCGGAACAGGTACCGCTCTTACTTCTTCAAGTACTTCAACGTGATGATGAACTGCCCGGGCGGCGGGACGCTGCATTACACAGACGAGGATTACGCTCATGAGGCGGACTTGCTGACGTCACACCTACACCAGCTCCACCAGATGTCCAGCCTCAACGTGACGTTCCCCAGTCTGAGCTTGCATCTGCCGAGCGAGACTTGGTGGAAGATCGAGCTCCAACTCATCACGAAGTGGCGCAATGTCCTCACCGATCTCCTGCCCAGCAAGAAGCTGGTCGTCTGCAACAAGAAGCGCCGCTTCTTGTCCCTCGGCCGCGAATATGACTACGACGAAAACAGCTACTCCAATCGGCAGCTGGAGTACATAGGGCAAGTTCTCAGAGGACTCCTTCACGTCAAGTCTCTCATTATCCACCAGGTATGCGCCTTTCCTTTGTATCGACGGTGAAACTACAAAAATGCGTATCTCGGTTGAGGGGTTTCGACCCGAAGACTTGGTCAATGTAACCCCTTCCCCCCCCCCCAAAAAAAAAAAAAAATTAACACAAAAATATTAAGTGCACGCTTTAAGCAGGGCCGGATTAAGGGGGTGGCCACATGGGCCGCGGCCCATGGCGGCAAATTTTGCAATTTTGTTTAAATGTAGGTATAAAAAAAATGGGATCCAGAAAAAAAAATTATCAATGAGAAAAGGGGACAAAATCTCTCTTTCCTGAGAGTATAGTAATTTCTAATTTTGTTGCTTATCGGTGATACAAGAGACATCATCTTCAATTAGTCGAGTTAAGAGAGGGACTAAACACGCAATTTGCCCTGGAGCTCAGCGCAGAGAGGAATGATGACGAGGACTTGAGATAGGAGAAGCCCTCGGCGCGGCGCGGCGGTCGGCATGTAACACATATTAACGCCTGCAAGATTGCATGAATACTTCACGCATTGCGTCAGACACAGTGCGGCGAGTGCGGTTAGCAGTGGTCGGCGTGAAACGAATAGCGCCTGCAAGACTGTAGGAATACTTCCCGCATTGCGCCAAATACAGTGCGGTCAGCGCGGAGCGGCGTACAGTGGAGCGAATCAATTAGAGAGGCCGGACATCAAACCTTTGACTAAAACTGCAAAGTTTTATGTTTATTTCGTCATACGTTAAATTTTAAGGGGTATTTCCAGAAGAAAATTTCTCGAGGAAACTATTGGACCCACTTTTAGAACCTCAAAATTTCGTATAAACGGAGTTATAAGCTTTTAAAGTTTCCAAATTTTGTCCGACCCCTCCTATTGACTCGATCCACTGTGCGGCGGTGGAAGTTAAAACTATTAAACCACATTTATGTTTGTTCTTTCTTAATTTTTTCGATCAATGCTTATGAATGGAAGACCTCACCACAAAGAGATACGTTTACGGGACTTAACTTTTGCACAAAGCTCCGTGAAATTTTGCTAGTGGTGTTGACAGGGCTTTCGCAAAAATGTGTCCAACACGTTTTATGCACTCCTCTCTCTCCGGCACGTTCACTTGATGGTTTTATTGATGTTTCAAAACGAATGAGAAGGGGGCGGCAAAATACAGGCGGCCCATGGGCGGCAAGTAGGTAAATCCGGCCCTAGCTTTGAGGGTATACTTTGTGTACTATTCCCCGTAAAAACACAACATGTCGGTTACTTTTTTTCACGATGCACGAATCAATACGACCAGGATAGGGGAGCCGCTCTAAAACATGTGTATCTACGGGTAATATTATTCTCTTTGCATTTCGCACAGAGTCACCATACCTCGATTTGGCTTCAGACGAGCTCCGGACAAGCTGAACCGAAATCGGAGGCGAATGAAGTCCCCGATCCAGCGGTTGATGACGTCATCTACCTCATTTCGATTTTGATGGAGCAAGCGTGGAAGATGGCCGAGCAGCGAGTCTCCAACGAAACCAACTCGCTCTGGCTCAAGAACAAAGCGCGCCATGATCACGAGAAAAGCAAGGCTGGTTTCCAGACAGCGGTCGAGGAGTTCTTGAAAGAGGTGCGTTCATGAACTTAGCAACGTTACAGATTACGGGGAGAAGGAAGCCAAATTATATCATTTCACATCCTATAGGGGTCCCTTTACAGCTACGCGCATGGTTGAAAGCAAATTTTGAATGCAAATTGGAGGACCGTCATGAGGAAAACCCACATAATATAGAGTGGCAACTCAGTACGATCACATTCTATGCGCCGTGCCGCTAGGCGTTTTTAGGATTGAGTAGCACATCCTCTCACATGAGGATAGTCAGAAGACCTAAATATGACAATTCTCCTTTGATTTCAACCTAAAATTCAGAGAATATTTCCCCATGAAAAATATTTTAGCGAGCGTTTTTAGTTTCTTTTTTCACAGTGAGTAATACCATGCATGAACATATTATTAGTGACACCTGGTGGCGCTTGCAAATTTCTACTCTATAGTTATTAAACATTTACTTTTTTTCGTCGGACTGACAGACGAAGTAACGGACAAGGAATATAAAGGGCAAATGGAGCGATCCTATATTGATAGAAACGCATGGACAAAAGAGGTGTGTAAATAGACTAACTAACGGAAATAACCCACGGGGGGCCGTATATTAGGTCCATCATTCTCCACCATAGTCTACTACAACTTAACAACCGTCCGTTTCAACCAATAGGATCGCCCATTTTCTCTTTGCCCTCTTTGTCCATCGCTTTGTCTATCAATTTTGATAATCATCCCGGTCCTTCGCTTCATGCTCTCCAAATCTTGGCAACGTCAAATGCAATGGTGCCCTTTTTTTAAATCTGTAGTCCTGTTGCGGGATACATGATTCTTGTATTGAGCCATCGACCAGCGGGAGGCAAAGAAAGCGAAGAAAAAATGTAGCGATCCTCTTGGTTGAAGCTGGTGGTCCTTATAGAGAAATGATGGACTAAACAAAGGGTCTCTCATAGGGGGAAACAGGGGGAAAATGGAGTGATCCTATTGGCGGAAGTGGGTGGTTGCACTTGGCAGAGGACGTAAGTAATAGACTAACGGCAACCTACGAGATACCCTATGGCGTCAGTCCATCATTATCCCCTTATTCTATACGAGTAAGAACCACCTGATTCGACCAACAGTTGGCTGCTTATTGAAATCGATATAGACAAAGCGACGGACGAAGGAGACAAAAGGTTATTGGAGCGATTCTATTGGTTGAAACGGATGTTTGTTATAGCTTAAGGGAAAAAATTATGGACGCACTATAAAGTCTCCCGTGGGTTGCCGTTAGTAAGTCTATGACTTACTTCCTTTCGTCCACTGTAACCGCCCACGTCCACCAATAGGATCGCTCCATTTCCGCTACGTCTTCCCTGCTTATCGCTTTGTTTATCAATTCAATAATCACTCCTCAGATCTTTTAAAGCGCACTGACGGTGCGCAGACTTTGTAATGTTGCACTAATGATTTTGCAGATAAGAAGAGACTTGAAAGTAACGAACTCGCAGACGGACACGGATCTGGTGCACTTCATTCTGCAGTGGTTGTATCGCGGCGCCGCCGGCAACGAGCGGCGTCTCGGGGCCGTCCTTCGTCCTTTCTTGAGGCGTCTCTTCTTGGCGTCGCACGAGAACTGTTGGTACTTGGACGAGTACGTTTGGCGAAAGAACTCAGATGAGGTAATGGCGCTCGGCCAGTTTTGTGAGCTCATCTCCAACGACAACGGAGTTCCTCTCGATGGTCTCTTGGATGCCGTGCAAAAAGGTAAAGTCCACACTGTCTCTGGGCGTACTGTACATATTTCCCACCCTGTTACAAACTTGGAAGTTAGAATGGCTTTTTACTAGCGTCTACGTAGTCACAAAAGACCTCGTATCAAAACACTATGAATTGTGCTCAGCTGTTGGAGGCTGATTATTGAAATTGATAGAAAAAGCAATAGACAAAGAAGACAAAGGAAAAATAGACGATCCCATCGGTTGAAACGTGTGGCTGTTATAGAGTTACAGGGGGGGAGGGTGATGGACTAACCATAGGACCTTTCGTGGGTTGCCGGGTTGCCCTTAGTTAGTCTGTTACTTACCTCATTTGTTCATCGCAAGCAACCGCTTCCACCAATAGGATCGCTCAATTATATCGTCGCGTCGTCTTCTTTGTCCATCAATTTCAGTAATCAGCCGGCGAAATCGCTCTTTGAAGTTCCATTCTAAATATCTGCTTCAATTTGGTAAATATCTTTAATTTACTAAATTACTATTATTAAATTACTAAAATTTACTAAAGATCTACTTTCAATTTTATCTACTTCTAATACTTTCCTCTTGTTTTTAACAGACCCAATTCATGTCGTTAATCATTTTTTATATGACAACAAATTGTCAGGAAAGATAGTTTTTTATATATTAGACTTTTTTTCATTCAGGTTGGGATTGGGCCGATGGAATGTTGAACTCTGCTCTAGAAATTAATGGAGGGACCGAGCTGGTGTTAACTCCAAGTTCAAGAACAACCATTCGCCTACCGATCAGTATTAACGCTGATGATTTACCTCTTAAAAATCGACGTCTGAGCAAATCGAATTCATTACGGTCCGTTGGGATGTCAACGCTGCCTCCGAGGCCCAAGGCGACAAAAGGTTTTCCCTTTTTTTGGTTTATCACGATTTATTTACTTCATCATCATATTGCGAATGGGCTACATTTTTCAATTAGGAACTACAATTTCTGGCTCCTTTTAGGAACAACGTATGCACTATTAGCTTCCGCACGCACATACGTGTTTTTACGATGGAGCCAGAAGTTGGAGTTCCTAATTGCAAAATATGTATAGTCCAAATGGTCTTTCAAATGTACTGTGTCTTGGTGGATCCTGACTCGTCCTTAAAGAAATCGTCGTTTCCCCTACGAATGGACGTAACTGTCATTTCAATGTTGCCAAATCTCCCTTTGATAATTTCATTTTTATTTAGGGAATCGTGCGCATGTCTTACTAAAATTGTCACTGATTTTTCCTCTGGTCTCATTCAAAAATCAGACGAATTTTGGACAAAAGTTGCACGGGTATATTCTTGTAAAAAAATTAATCGTTTTAGTCGATTTGGCAACCTAGGAATGGAGTTGCGTTTCTTCGTCCGAGCCACGACGAAATGACGGACTTACACGATCCGTACACGAGGCAAGTGTTGTGAGCTACGTCAAACTGTGGCCACCAGTCGAAAACGCCTTCAGTTTCGCGTGATGCTTCACCGCTGACACTAGAGTTAAAATATTTGTATCATAAATTTCCGCGCAGAATCCCCTGCTTTTCGAACGTCCATTAAGTATATTTTCTCTCATTTAGTCTAGGAAAACCTCAAAGAAAACTGTAGGCATTATTAGTTTGTGATAACTCCAAAAGTATGGACACAGTAAAAATGGTAAATAGATTTGCACCGTTCCCTAGGGCTGAACTGTTGCTGTTAATTCAGATAAATCTCTCGTGAAATTTCGCATGAATACACTTACCTGAAAAACGGCGTTGAGCTCGAAAAACTTTTGCCTGATCCGATTACATTGCTTGGATTCTCGGTGAAAGATCTGTAGAATGTATTGAATATATCGCCCGGAAAAAATGGCTAATGACCAAAATTCTGAGCATTGCATCGGAGAAATCTAACCTATTGTGCGAAAACTCTTCCAGTTTGCCGGACATTCCTCAGTAATCGTTCGAGTTGTTCATCAATCATGATCGGGCGAAAATTAGCGCTGACCTCCGAACTTAACTTTTGCCTTACCCACTTTTCACCTAACTTAAATTGTTTCCGACTCCATTGAAGCGTTTATTGTTAAAGGAGTTGAGGTGCTATAACTCAAAAGCCTTTGAGGTCGAGGCGGGAAACGGTGACCGGAGCTCAAGAGTTTCCGACGCGTGGACTCTTTCACAGAGCAACGATTCAATCGAGTTTTCTATTCTCTCCATAACAAGGCATGAAGTGTGAATTCGTCGCTTGGCTGACATAAGGGCGTATTTACACATAGAGATGAGCCCGGAAAAGCATTGAGTAGTATGGACGACAGGGTTCATTGCGGAGTGTAGTTTCGCTCTTATGTCAGAGGGGCGACGAATTGTAGTGGCATGAATGACTCAACGCGGTGACGCCTCCCATTCCATCGGCTTTAACGTATGAACCTATAATCGAGTTTATCGATTCACGAATAATTCATCTATTACTCGATTGATCGAATATCTATCGATTGCATTAATCGATCGATTTTTTAAATTTCGATTTTTATAATCGATAGTTTAGGGTCGTATTCATAGTCGTTCTTGAAACAGCGACTTTCCCGCGGAAACCCTGTATGGTTTCCATTCATTGGCGGATCCGGCGATTGGCAACACCGGATTTCCTCCGTTTAAACTAATGGAAATGTATCGACTCTTGGAGGGGCCAGATGCTCCGACAAGAATCGAATAGTTAGCATATGTTTAAATGGAGGAAATTTGGTGTTGCCAAATTGCTGGATCCGCTAATGTTTCCATTGTGATTAGGGGAGGTTCAAGGAAGCTCTCAAAATAGCGTCATACGATCGACAACTGTTGCCAATCTTGAGTAAAATGGGTCTGTTGCATGCAAGAGATACAGCCGTGCGAATAGACTTTTCAGAGGTTAAATGACACGAAAATTACGATGGTCACATTAACAAAGTCTGAAATACACTCCTTACTGCGCAATTTGCGTTGTTAGGATCGCGCTTTTTCAAATTTCCCGCGTCTGGGGGCAGTTTTCTAACGGAAACAATTAACGGCAACTCGCGGCTATTTCCGGTCAACTAAAACTGACAACATAACCTAAAAATCGGAGCTCGTGATATCGTGAAATGAAATGTAGGAGGATTACGTTGGATATTTAAAAGTTGATCGATTTGGTTAGCGCATAAAGCGTATATGGACCACTATAAGAGATCACGCTGGATTTGTAAACAAACTGAAGGAAAAAATAACAACAACAACAACGACTCGGCGTCTTCCGGAAATCACCGAGCCCGCCGTTTGCTCGTTTCCGGTGATTAGAAAACTGCCCCCAGACGCGGGAAATTTGAAAAAGCGCTCTCCTAACAACGCAAATTGCGCAGTAAGGAGTGTATTTCAGACTTTTTTAATGTGACCATCGTAATTTTCGTGTCATTTAACCTTTAAAATGCCTATTCGCGCGGCTGTATCTCTTGCATGCAACAGGCCCATTCAGCAGATGTATAACTTTGGAAATGGATCCTTGCAAGGGATGACCATGATTTGCCACTGTAAGAAGTAAAAAGTAAACCAATTCATCTTATTAATCATATACTTACATATAAAGCCGCTTTTATAGGGCTCTCTGGCGCTCTGCGACCCCTAGCCGTTAAAGGCCCCCATCCTCCCAAAGCCCTTCAGGGAGTCGACACACCCTCATTTTTCTTCTAAGCCCTCCTGTCGCCACCCTTTTACTGGGCGTCGGCGTCCCCTTCGTCTCCTCCCAGACTTAATAACTTAATTAATTAATTAATCAACTAATCGAAAAACTCTATAGATTGTGTATCATTTTCAGACACTTTGAGAGGACACCTTTACCGGGAATGCCTGATGGAGCAGCTTCTGATCACATCGCCGGATCACTGTCGACTCAGGGACTCGAGCCCGTTGACACAGGCGCTGGAAAAAAGCCGCCGGTACGGCTCTCATCGAGGCCTCGGCAGCATTGTCAATGCACTCATCACGCTCAATAAGTTCACGGTCAGTCCTCATTTCCATCATTTGGATCCAGTCTGGATGAAAAGACCCTACGTGTCTCTCAGAGAGCGAGTGGTCTCCTTGTTTTATGATCTCTTCTCCAATTCTTAAACGAAATAAAAGAGAGGAAGAAAAAAAAGATTCCCTCTCTTTCTCTCAATCGTAATTTCAATAAACTGCTTGACCTTTGTTTCTTTATTTCTGACCCGTCTGAAGTCAAATTTGTTTTGCAACACTCATGATGCTCATAAAAATTTGTGAATAATTCCGTCCAAATGTCCTGAATGCAAAATGAGCCAAATCAATTTAGAGATAGGTACCGAGTGGACAATTAGTTACCGTTTAGGTCATCCACACTGGCTAAATTATTAATGTAGCGAAAGAAATGTAACACATATTGATGGATACGGCGCTCTTTTGGAGCGACTAACGAGCATACCCCATGTTTGCAAAAACTTGAAGAATTGGTTCCACACCATTAAACTCGGTCCATTCCTTCCCATTTATTTGAACGGACGGATAGAGACATTTCACGCATTACATAACCGTGAGTTTTTGACTAATTCATAAGAGTACAGCAAACCTCCAAACAGTGTGAATCTAACCATCAGAATGTCTCAATGTTAATTTTTTCTGTCATTCGTTTTAACATGGTTATAAATCAGTTTGGGGGGAGGGGCTTACCAATTACAATTTTCCAATTAAGAAATTAGAAATCTTTCTTTGCAGTGAAACGGTCAAGCTGTCAAGGGAAATGTGAATACCATCAAGAATTTACAGGTCGAGCAAAAACCGACCTCATGAATTTTGCCTAAAAATGGCAAGTGCCAAGGCGGACCTGGAAGGTTCGGCAGAGGGTTAACTCCTATATTTTCTCGGTACCGAAAGGACAGAGAGACAGGAATTATAAATATAGACCATTTTTAACATCTTTCATGAAAATTTCATCTATAATCCAGCAATTTTTCATCAACGAAAAGCAGGGCCGGATTAAGGGGTTGTCCACATGGGCCGCGGCCCATGGCGGCAAATCTAAAGAGCGGCAAAAATTTGCAATTTTTTCAAAAGTATGTATAAATAAATCGGATTTAGAGAAAAAAATTACAAACGAGAAAAGGCGACAAAATCTCTCATTTACTGAGAGTATAGTAATTTCTGATGTTGTCGTCTCTTAGTGATACAAGAGACAGTACCTCCAATCAGTCGAGTTAAGAGAGAAACCAAACACGCAATTTGGCCTGCAACGGCGCGACTTAGAGAGAAATGATAACGAGAACTTGAGATGAAAAGGAGAAGCCCTCGGCGCGGCGATCGGCATGTAACACATATTAGCACCTACATGACTGCACGAATACTTCTCGCATTGCATTAAACACAATGCGGTCATTGCGGTCAGCGTGAAACGGATAGCGCCTACAAGACTGCGTGGATACTTCACGCATTGCGTCCAACACAGTGCGTTCAGCAGCGGTCCGCGTGAAACGCATAGCGCCTACAAGACTGTCTGAATACTTCACGCTTTGCGCAAAACATGGAAGGCCTTGTCCACGCAAAGATAGGTTTACGAAACTTAACTTTCGCGCAAAGTTCCATAAACTTTGGCCTGGAGTGTTGACAGGGCTTTCGCAAAAAGTGTGTCCAACACGAGTAAATGCGTCTTATGCACCCCTCCCCCGCTGGCATGTTCACTTGATGGTTTTTATCGAGTTTCAAAACGAACGAGAAGGGGGCGGCAAAATACAGGCGGCCCATGGGTGGCAAGTAAGTGAATTCGGCCCTGACGAAAAGTCTACTCAGCAGCTTTTGTCTCTCGTGTGCAACAGTTCTATCATTAGGATATCAGTGCTGATACAGTGTTCCATTTCTTCCTTGCAGATACTGCAAGAAGTTTCCTTGTTACTGCCAGAAGATCAGCGGCACCAGATTCTCGACGACATCCACAAAATCAGCAGAGAGCGGCGGCGTCACAAACGCACCTGTAACGAGCGGATCAAGAAGAACTCGGCCACCTTGCCCAGAAACCTGAAGCCAAAAGGGATCGACTTCGAGAACGCCACCTACCGTTCCATCAGCGAACTGGCCCTCCTCAACGAAACCGTGCGCAAGAGTCTGAAGATGAGCAAACCTAAAGATCACGAAGTCAAGACCCTGAACGAGAACAACGCTCTGAGAGCCTCCTTCCTCTCGCTGTACGAGGACTTGAGTAAATCGGGAACCCTCTTGGGCACCTGCCGCTTGGCCCGGAGCCGCAACACGGAGAACAGCTTCCTCTACAACCCGTCGGCGTTCTACGATGCTCCACCGTCTTTCTACGAGAACATCTCCAACAATCTAGCCAACTACTCGTCCAGGTCGCGGCTCTACTGCAACCCCCTATCGCAGCCCTATTTGCAGCTGACCCCGGACAAGACTCTGTGTCTATCGTCCGGTTTCTCGTCCGAGGCTGAGATGGAATCCCTGGGAGCGTCCGCTCAGTATATGCGCGGCAAGGATGGAGTTGAGCTCAAGTCGCCAGAGAAGGAGATGGTCACCAAACTGTAGACTGAAAAAAAAGGTTTTGACTACGCTGTCGTTACAGCGGAGAGAGCCGTAATTGGACTGCATTTTGCAATTTGGAACTACAAATTCTGGCCCGGTTGAAAAACAACGTATGTGCCATTAGTTTTCTTACGCACATAAGTGTTTCTTCAGATGAGCCAGAATTTTTAGTTCCAAATTGCAAAATGCAGTCCATTTAACGTTCAAATTTTCCAAAACTAGTTTCTTTTAAAGTCGTCCGGTATCTTTCAGATAAAATCACTCAGAACAGGTTGGTTGAGAAACATGTATCAGAATGTAAATTGATTGTACCTAAATTATCCAAAATGAAAATAACAATGTAAAATTTTTATGTAGTCTTTTTAACTTTTTATTCTTTGAAATGTCAAACCCTTGCCTCCGGTTTTACAAGACAGCATAAGTAAGGATCCGTTACAAATCAAATAATATATTTTGTGATATTGAAAGAATCGGTAGAAATCCAGTCTGCAAAGAAAGATCGTCGCCCTCTGCTTCATGCTCAAAATTGCAAAAGAACATTCATTTAAGATGGTTGGAATACAATTGTTTGCGATCTTAATAGGAATAAATTTATAAATGTCCTCTGCTGCTTATTCGTGATGACTACCGCATACGATAAACTCCGATAGCGATGAAGGCTATTTCCATTTAAATCTTCCGTCACATTCATACGGCGCAATGATACAACTATTTGAACTCTCCGGAACCCGTGAGGTATCACGCCGCATTTGAAGGCGTTTTCAAAACAGCCAAATTCCATTATTGGATTAATCGTTTTGCATAGTTCATATGATTTTGTTTCCATTTCTAACCACTTGTTTAATTATAATCCACCCATAAAACCACCCATTTGCTAAATACAATTCTAGCTGAAGCGCACTTAAGCGCATTCATGACTGCAAAAATGTTAACGGAAATTGAAAAGGCCAGCGTGCATGAAGGCTATTTCAATTGTAATCTTCCGTCGCATCTCTAAGGCGCAATGATACAACTATTTGAACTCTCCGGAACGCTTGAGGTATCACGCCGCATTTGAAGGCGTTTTCAAAACAGCCAAGTTCCGATACCTGGATTATCGTTTTGCATAGTTCATATTCTTTTGTTATATTCCGTACCACTTGTTTATTTTTAATCCCCGTAGAAAAACCACCCGTTTGTAAATACAATTCTAGCTGAAGCGCACTTCAGCTATGCATTCACCACTGCAAAAATTTCAGAGGAAATCGACAAGCCCAGCGTGCATGAATGGCAGGCCCGCCACAAGGGGGATACTGGGTCCCTGGTACTTGGGCCAGGGCTCCGGAGGGGGCCCGTGTTACCCGTGAGAAACCACTACGAATTCACATGCAACCCTTGTTTCGTAAGAAAAAGTGAAACATTTACCCTAAAAATTTCGCAAAAGGTAAATAGATTTTCAGAAACACGCCGGGACACTGTAGAATTCTTCTTAAATTTTCGAAGAAGTATACTTCGTGGAAAATGTCTATCTATTTTCAAGAATGTCAGTACAGAGGGGTCTTTTTAGTAACTGCGGTTCATTTTCTTCCGTCGTCAGATGCTAAGAGTCTCCAGTCTGGGCATCCTCGACTTCAATGGCTCATGGTTCAACTCCCTTGCCATAGACCAACGAAGGGGGAGTCCAGGGGGGCCCGGCCATCATAGAACTGAAAATAATATCATAACCCCCTCCCCCCCCAAAAAAAAATAAAATTTTCCAGATGTTTTGAATGCAACAATTCGCAAGTATTTTGTGCTGAAAGTAGAAAAAAAAAACCATACTTATTCCGCAGAAATTGATGGAAAAATTCTTTATGGAAGCTTCAAAATGCGTCCGATTAGTCGTATAAATTCTAAAATTGCTCGGGGGGTGCCCCTCGGACCCCCCCCCCTCCGTGCTTGGGGCCCGGACCTTAAAACTGGTACCAGGGCCCGAGATGGGATGTGGCGGGCCTGCCGATAGCACACCTCTTATGGTGCCCTGGACTCGATACCTGACCACTATATTAATCTCTAAGATGTGCTTTTTGCATACTCGTTCAATTTAAGGAGAACAACCATTCGCATGTGTACAGATGAAGAATCGCCCATAGTTTCAAACCAAAACCATTGATACAGTTAATTCTGAGTGATCACGAGGGAAACTTCAGCAGATTTGCAGGTCGGCAGTGTAAGAACGAAAACTCGTATCCTGATTACAGCAATTCATAATGTCTGCTCCATGTTTTTTTTTAATTTTTTCAAGGGAATTGAACGTGACATTATTTCATATCAAATATTTATGATTCCGACACTGGTGCATCTCTGAGAAGTGAGGTCCCTTTTTCTCTTAACAATCAAATATGAGGGGCTTGGAGGACAAGGCGCTCAAGTGCAATTTTTTTTTAAAAAAAATTGAGATATTCATGAACTCAACTTAAACTAGTTTGAAAGTTTATTTGGTGAAAAATCACAACGAAAATCCAACTTTAAAGCATCAAAAAGTGATTTTAAACTTCCTCTCTGCTATATAAGGCTCCATGTAATTTTGAAACTTTAAACACGTATGTCCTGAATTAGGAAAAACTGCACTTATGTGAGTTCTCCTCCAAGCCCCTCATACACGAAAGCTATTTTACCAGTAGTAAATCGAGATGCATAACACAACGCATGCGCTGAAACGCAATTGGAAGAACACGGCAAACTTTGCTTCACCGGGGAAAATGGAAAAATGACGGTAAAAGCACTCTTGAGAAGCATGGTCAGCGCTCCGAGAACGCTTTAATCCTGGATTCCTGGCCATGTGAAAACAGGCGGGAAACAGACTCCGAAGCGAGCAATGAGGGTTGAAAAAGGGTCCTCGGCAAAGGGACGAGGGGGAGGAGCTTTCGTCACGGAGTTGCACGAGGTTTGCCGAGGGTCCAGGTTCCGCGGAGTTGTACGACCGGCTCGCTAAATATAAAATCTTTTTCTCCATTAACATGGGATTGTGCATTTTGAGGCTGAGAAAAGAAGGCTGAGAACACCTCAAGATCATTAGAATTATGTACAACAAACCATATGGAAGTGACTGTAAAGAAATAATGTCATCAGAGAGACTGTTTACAGTGACCTCTTTATACATCTATGAATGTATTAAATATGCAGTAGAAGGAGAAATAATAAAGCCGGCTGATCTATTTCCCACACACAACTACAACAGCAGACACTTCTTCATCCCCAACAATTCCACCAAGTACAAAATTTCTGAAAACAGTGTTAAGTTTGCTTCTATTCAGCTGTTCAATGCTCTCCCTCTAAATATTAGACTTCACTTTAAGAACTCAGAGATCAGCAAATTTTTTTCACATTTGAAATCGTTTCTTTTGGCTGAATCCTTTCAAGATCTCTCTGAGTTTTTCACCACTGCTTAACTTCCTAACTTAATGTTCTAGTATTGATAACTCACGGTATTCACTCTCTCTGTTTTCCAACTTGCTGTTATTGCAGGTTATAAATTTATTATAAGATAAATTTGTTTTAACGTCTTTTTTGTAACTAAATACCATGTTGACTAGTACAATAGCCCCATATGGTGGCTTTATGTATGTTATGTAAAAATAAATAAAATAAATTCCGATGTTCTCACGCAAAGACGTGACGTGATGGAGCTGAGCAAAAAGGAGCGTGAGGAGGGAAATTAAATTTTTCAGCAGAGCAAAATAGCACAATTTGGGTCAACGTATTGATTTTCATTTTTATTTATTTATTTTTTTTTTTTTAAATATAATATTATTTTTTTTGCCCAACGGCAATGAATATCTCAAAAAATATCGGATCTTAATTTTTAGTCATGATGAGCATTACAAATAAAGTCTTAAGCGTCAGAAAAGGCGAAATGGCGGCACAGTGACGGCATACTTGAACCGCAATTTCTCAAATTAGCGAGTTATCGCCCACAAACATGCTATGATGGACTTAAAAGATGAATTATCGGAATTTTTGGATACTCTTTATATCAAATGATGCAGAATTCACCCCTTTCTGTTATGTTATAATTCCCAATTTCTGCTCCGCTTCAAGTTCCATTTTGTACGACTTTAACGGCCAACGCTTGTGTGAAGTTAAGTGCTAAAGAACCATACCTGCATTTTCACCGATTCGAGAAATTAGGGAAAAATCATGCGACAAACTCCATTGTCGGTAGCGTATTCCTATACTTTAAATCTATCTTGGGTTTGGTGTTAGTTGCAGGTATAATGAATTTTTTTTAATACCCATACGTCCCTTACTAGATATGTTCAGAATGCATACAAGTAACTCGAATTTTTCAAAATTGTTAGTTTGCGGTTCTTCAGTTCAGATAATGTAAAAGTTTGGAATTAAAAATTGGCAAAGTAAAGTCTATAAAAAATTGAAAGTTTCATCGGTTGTCCTTTTCATAACCTTACTTCAATGAACTCTCATAGAGCAAGCCAAGTTCGGTAGATTTCCAGAATTTGATTTTGCGTCCAACAGTTTGCCGAAATGATTGATCTAACGATTTTTCCATGATAGATCCACTTTAATGATAAATGTATTATCTATGATCATCACTTTTGAGAACTATGAAATATGCCGGGATTTTCTACGTTTCTTTGGTAATGAATTCCGATTTTCTATAATTTGTTTTCTCCTTTTTTGGATGGCAGGTGACAGAATTATCCCGAAATCGTCTCTAAATTTCAAGAACTTTTTGTAAGAAGCTTATCGGAAGTCAATTCTCTGGGACAAAGTCAGCTCCATAAAACATTTCCAAAAGTACATCATCATCGTCATCATTACAGTCAAAACAACCGAGAGTCTCATGAAAATAGATGAGAGGGAACGACATATAGCCTGCTTCACGTGGGTTGCGGTATGCCAAACTGCGTACCGCCGCAGGGAATAATAATGCAGTCGGCGACCAAACCGAATACATCCCTGCAAATAAGAACATGACTCTCGAATGTAGTAAATGATTCGGCTACATGGCAACAATGCAGCTCAGCTGGTTTCCGTGGAGATCAATGCTCATCCCTATTCCACGGGAAGCTGCGCCGTACAAGGGGTGGTTTTCGCGGATTTCGCGACTTGCGCCACTCGAGACCTTCTGGCACATCGGGTAGCATTCAATCAGTGGCTTTCTCCGGCCGAAAGATTAAGGGAAGCAAAATTAACGCGGGGGGATGCACGGGGTCCATACAAATTTATTAAGGGTGTTCCAAACGTCTGGCCCACTCTCTCTAAAATTCTACCTACTTCATATTTTGAAGCGAAACTTTGGGGATGTTCAAAGATCAATGTATGCTACTTTTGGGATCCGCAGCTCCCTCGAGGAGGACCTCCGAAGATATTGGGGGGAGGGGGGCAGCCCCCATTGATCCATTTACATCCCTGTAATACTCCGTTTCAAATCATGAACAAGGTTACATTTTTGAGGAGACGGGCCGGATTTTTAGAACAACCTATAATTCGCTTTCAATTACCAAGGTAGTCCAGTTAACATTACTCGTGCAACAAAAGTTATCCAATGGTTTATGTCCTGCCATTCTTCGCGTTAAACTTTTGAGATGGGCCTGAAAAAACACTCCCCTCTGTAGCCTCCTTTGTCTATTACAATCACCCGGTTCCTCCGATACAATCGCTTTATTTTCCCGTCGTCTTCTTCGAATCGTCTTTAGTTTTGTACATGAATTTCAATAATCAACCTGCTGCCTGCTGCTGTTGTATCATCCCTTGTTGCATGATGCCTGCTCATAGCCAGGATTTTTGTTCGGGGG